GTATGACAAGATTTGGTTCAATTGAGGACAATTGAAAAGTCAGGATGGTCGAATGTAAGAACGATTGTAAATTATTTAATTGTTATTAGACAAAATATCTATTGAGAAAATAGCAGCAACGGCTAATTTCTGGATTTCGTTCTATTTATAATTAAAAAAAATAGATATACTTCCAGATGATGTACGCTTCAAATGTTTAACGGTACGATGCAGTAAGTACGTTTGTTATGTTACGCGTTTACGAATACGTTACGTATAGGTTATTAAGATTTATCTTCAAATAAATGTTTGTCTTTTACAACCATTTTACGAGCGACTACAAAAGGAAGTTAACACATGTTCAGGTTTAATACATAGCAATCAAGGCTTGACGCTACATAGCTGGATGTAACATTTTTTCTGAACTGCCAAATTTTCAAGATTTTTTTTGCAGTATCGTAGAATTTATTCTTTCCAGAAATCTAGGAAACACAACATTTAAAAAATAGGTGCTACTTTGGTAGACGGTTACACGGATTTTTGGCGATTTACGTTGGCGCAATTGTTGGCGGGTTTTCTACAAACGTCAGCCATCTTGAAAAACGCTGTTTTTACGCATAGTAAAGTATTCGAAACTTAAAAATAAATAAATAAATAAATAAATATCGTTAGAAATAATGGATTAATTTTTTTGTTGAAAATGTCGTTTTTTAAGATGGCAGGCAAGTGTAAATAAATACATTTACTATGAGTATAAAATACTAAAGTAAGGTTATTATTACTTTCATATAGCAGAGAATAAAAACACCGCTATAAAAACATTGTGCCAACGTTTAATTAGATTAAAATATTACTGAAATTGAATATTGAAATAAAAAACATCATCCAACATTTAAAAGAATTAGAATATTATTAAATTTAAATACTTTAAAATACGTTATATAGAATATAATATATATATATATATATTATATATATATATCTATTATATGAATAAATACATTTACTACGAGTATAAAATACTAAAGAAAGTTTAAATTATTACTTTCATATAGCATAGAAATAGAATAAAAAATACCACTATAAAAACATTGCGCCAACGTTTAATTGGATTAAAATATTACATAAATTGAATATCGAATTAAAAAACCATCATACCAACGTTTAAAAGAATTAAAATATTACTTAAATACTTTAAAATAAGTAAATAAGAACGCTTCGTACACTAGAGCTAAAATGACAGCAATTAGTTTATTGTCGGTAAAAAAGGAGGAATGTCTAATAATTTTCTTACCGTTACAGCGGTTATTTCTTCCAACATGACCACAATGTCATATACGGCCGTCTCAGAATCGGCTCTTCTAACGGTCTTCATCTGTGATCTACATTTTCGCACTTCATTGAAGAAACAATTAGCGACGTTTCCTCCAAACTTTAAAATAAATTTCCTCTGACCCTTGTAAGAATTTATAAATAAATCTTTGATTAGGAAAGCCAGGCTGGCGAAAATAAGGTCTCAAAGGACAATTTTTTGATTCCGAAACCAAAAATTCTTGGTACTTATCAAAAACAACATTCATCTTTGAAGGAGACATTTTTGAAGGAATTCGAAGATATGAATTAAATTTTAAAATGGCGCGGTAATGCACAAACTTTCAGCAACCTATCAGGGAGCTGATTACAGCTCATTGATGCACAAATATTCTATAACCAATCAGAGAGCTGATTACATCACGCCTAGAATTAAAATTATTTAAATAATCATACATAATAAAATCATTTTAAAAAAGAAATGTAAAATTAAATTGTATTTTAATATTTAACAGCCATAAATAATGTTTAAAACATTAGATTAAATTTATAGATATTAAAACCAATTACTTTTAAAGTCACAGCCAACTCTATAATGGCCTTGAAGCGCAAAAGTCACGTGATCAAGATGGTCGATTTGTTCTGACCAAGGAGGTCAGAGGTCTATTCTAACCCCCTTGGTTCTTATGGTAGCGTGTGTGGCTACGAAACTGTGGTCGTGAATTTTGTGGATATATATTTTTGTCCAATAGTGTTATGTAAGTAGAATTATTTTGGTATTCTAAGTGATTTTAAATAACGTGAAGCTTTATGTAATGGTATAAATAATAGTTTTATCTATATTTCGTTTTATATATTTTTAATTTTTAGATTTATTTGGGAAAATATGTAGCTGTTTTCGAAGCCTATGCATGTGTTTCGTTTTAACAGCGAATGCATTTACTCTAGTTTGAACATTTTGAGTAGTATTGGTTTTGACTATTTGTTTGGAAATCAGGAATTCTTATATTTTTGATTATTTGTTTCTAATAACATATTGGAATACAGAATGCCTCGACATTGCAGTGTATTTGGCTGCAAATCCAATTACGACAAAAATGAGAATGTCACTACTTACTCTTTACCTAAATCACCTAAAAGAAGAGCTCAGTGGTTAAGGAAAATTCCGAGAGATATTGATAATAACTACAGATGCATTCATTCAATTGATTCCATATTTGTTTCAAAAGTATGAGGCTGAATACATATTATTAGGAAAATTTCAAACTGATGCTCTTGAATCACGTTTTGGAATGTATCGGCAAATGTCAGGTTCAAATTATTACATAAATTACCTACAATTATTAGAAAGTGAGAAGAAGCTTCGTTTTAAAAGCAATATTATAATTTCATCATCAAATATCAATATCCCTTTAACTTCTCTTTTACCAGATTATGATAAGGATTCTATCTTTACCTTTGTGAATATTGATGATTATTCAAATTTACTAGTTAATGATTTTTCTACAGAAAATGTTCCTTCTGATATTTTACCAGTGCTAGTTTATATTTCAGGTTATGCTTCCATGAAAGAATTAAGGGTGGTAAAATGCAGTATTTGCCAGGACTGGTTGCAAAGTGTTCATTCGGTAGATATAGCAGATGATATTTTTGGTTTTCTTAAAGAATTAGATAGGGGTAAATTAACTTTACCGTCTGAAGTTGCTTTACTAACATCTTCAATTGTACATTTCTTATTTGGTGGAATTCTCGAAAGCATGGAAGATACATTTCTTATATCAGGAAAGCAACTGGGTATTTTATATAAGTTATCTTGCATACAGTTAGGTAGAATTAACTTTAATTTAACAGATTCTTGCATTTGTGGAATGACTTTGCAAACCCGATTAGAAAATATCTGTTTGATAACTTGTAAAATAATGTTAAATAATTACACAAAACATAAAAATGACAAAATTAATATAAAATGTTCATATAAAAAAGTTAAAAAATTTACCAGTTAATTTCAGTTAATAAGTCACAACTGTTTGTTTTTATGTATGCTTCTGCATAAATGATGTATGATATGTAGGATGTGTGTATATGGCACAGCTCCAAGTTTTATGAATCTATTTTTGATAGTGGAATAGGCCTGTAATTTGGGGACACCACTGTAAAAAAAACGAACCTAATCACTTACCTCTTCGGTGGTTTGGAAAAAGTGATACAACATAAAATTGGAGCTGGCACAAAATAGAAGGTTGTCCTTTTTATGAATGTAATTAGCATTTAATTTGCCAAAATTTTCTTGAAAGATTTATTTATAGCATAACATGCATGTAAGTTTGTTTTTATACACAAATTTCCTAGCATTTAAGGAATTTTTAATTCATTCCCTGTTTGATGATAAAATTGTGATATTTAAGTTTTTATTAGTGAATGAAGTGATGAGAGATGACTATGAATATTTGCATTCTAAAAATTTATATAGCTGATGCGATGGGAGCGGCATGAATTTTTACAAAAATATTCTGCTCTTAATATTTATTTTAGTGTTAAGAAAATCTAAATAAAATTTACATCTATAAACCTATTGAATTTTTCCCCTTTTGTGGATTTTATATTATTTTTGGGAACAAATTTGATTTAGATTACATAAATGAATTCCATTTTTATTAAAATTGCAGAAATAACGTTTTTTTCTGGTGATTCTCAATGATATTTTTAGTTACATAAACAAAAGTACAATTGTTTTTAAAAATTATTGAAGATATTCATTTTACCGGCTGTGAAAATATTACACTATGAAAAATTTAATGCAAGTCATGCGACCTAGTCACGTTTATTAATTTTACTTATATTTATATTAAGAGAAAACTATTATTTTTGGCAAGTTAAATTTCGCGCTTATAGCGAAGAGAAAAAGATCGACTATTTTGATCACGTGACCTTCCGAAACTGATTTCGCTTCAAGGCCATGATAGAGTTGGCTGTGTTTTAAAGTAAGGTGACGTCACTGATTACATCATCCACAGCATAAAATTCCATAAAATATAAAAATATGATAACAATACAATTTTTATTTCAAATAAAAATGCAAAATTAAATTTATTTTTAATATTTAGAAGCCATAAATAATATTTAAAACACGGAATTTATGCATAATAACACGCATTATTTTTAAAATAAAATGTCAACAAAGTATCGGTTACCATAAATAACTTATCCAGCAATGGGTTTACCATAAGTCGTATTACTCGCCAAAAGAAAAATTGCCAAAAACTCGCCAAAATCCGTGCAACCGTCTACCAAAGTAGCACCAAAAAATATTTTCTGAATATTATATGGCCAAAAGAGCAATCTAGGTTGAAATTTAGACTACGCTGGGCTTAACTATATCACAAAATATAAGAAGTAAAACGGTAAACACCAAAATGTCGTCTAATATAACATCGTTAGAGAAATATCCATAGTAAATCGTAACGAAACATATATAGGTTGTGTTATAATCACATCTCATTTCATTTTGAGTGATGCTGGTGCCTCATTTTTGACTCGTGGAAAAATGGTCGGCCAATATTTAAGGCACTTTTCTTATGGTTCCTTTGAATATAGTAACAGTAATTCTTGCAATATTTTAAATTCTAAATGAAGATGTACAATAAAATGTTATATAATAGTAATTAATAATTAAATATAATTAAATAGTGATTTTTTATAATAATTACGGAACAAATTCAAATAATTTTCGCGAATGTAAACATTTACTAAGCCACTGTCTTTTTATATTGACTGCTTTAGCTACTCTAGTTTGGCAACAAACGGCCTCTGTAATCCTGTTTGACAACAAAAATGTAAGCATTCTAAGCGTGATTTGGTATATTATAAGAATTTTTAGCCAAAACTTGGTATTCATGATAATAATTTTGGTATAAAACGACCCCTTTGCGTTATACTATATATCCGATAAAGGATATAAAATTAATTGCAGTGTAGACTGTATTAGAATTAGATATATTTAAATTTGTTGCCGATGGTTTCCAGTTTTATAAGTAATTTGTTTTTCTCTTCCAGTATGTAAGTTGGAGTTTTTAATTTTGAGGTAATGGAGCATGGGGGCATGTTTAAGTCTTGACGAAGAAGAAAGACGAGCTCAAATAAGAAGCGAAGAAATTGACAGACAACTTGCGGAGCTTGCAAAACAAGAGCGAAATGTCATAAAAATACTCTTGCTGGGTATATACGTTTAACTTATTTTTTGGTTTTCTAATTTAGGATAGTTTGTTGTTCAGTTTTAAGTTTAATAGCTTAATATCAAACGTGATATTTTGTTACTGGAAAGCAACGATCAAATAAAAATTGCTTTCTTCTGTACCTTAGTCCAACTTGAAATAATAATTTAGCCCATGTAGTGGAATATACTACTGTAAATAATGATTAAACATACAGTTGTAATTATATCGAAAGCATTATCTTGAATGTTTTAATTAAACCTTGACATTAAAACTATTAATTAAAAAGCATAAAAAATTAATTGAAAAATAAAAGTAAAGGGCTCTAGTGTAGAATTGGGTGCCCCTTCGATTAGCTATTTTTTTTTTTTTTTTTAATTTTGGCGATGAAACCTCATTTATGGTTACCATGATAGTTTTAACTTTGTTTTATCTTCCTGATTTTTTTTAAGAAAATAGATTGATGTGTACATGAACAAATTTAAGGCAGTGCGCAATGCCTAGTTTGTGCAATTCCTTGGCTTTTTATTTTGGTTTTATGTAGCGGCCATCTTGAAATTGTGCTTTTCTGGCACCGATCTTGGCGTCAAAACAGAATCATCAAAAAACAAGAGGCACCAAGTAAAGTGTTAGATTCTGTCTTTTTTTTCTGTGTGAGTGAGTGTGTAGAGAAAATGGTTGATCTTTGGATTATGGTAACTTGGCAATTTTTTGGCGAAAATTTGGCGACCAACTCTGCTACAGCAACCCTGTATTTTTTTTTTTTTTTTTTTTTTTCCGCCACCATTTTGTCTTCATGAAGTAAAGACATGTTTCTTTTCTTTTTATTTACTAAACACTTTTTCCAACAATCTACTAGCCAAATTGCACTTATACTAGAAATTTTATTGAACAAAACTGCTTAATCATGACAAATATTCACTGCAAAATTGGGAAAAAGTGCACAATCGCAAACTCCTTGCGCGTTTTTCACAATAACACTACACATAAACCATGTACACGTCGACTTATTTTTACTTAAAAAAAATCACAGAATTGCACAAAAATGGCACTGCGCACACTCTTCACTATATCCATGTACACTGCTTTTTTCTCATAAATTAGAAAAATTTCACGAAAATGCATGACAATTTTCTGAATCTTTAAACCCAGTAAAAAGAACATATATGAAATTACCTTATCGCGAAAAAGTATATACCCTTTCCAAATATGAACATTTCCACGTATAAAATATCCAAAAACTTTTACCTCTAAATTATCTATTATATTATAAATGTCACCAACGAATTCATACCGCAAACATTACAAATACTTAGTGTCAAATATTTAAATTATTTCCATGCACGGTTACTTCAACTAAAACGTATACCAAATTCCTACAAACATAAAATTCACAAAATAACTATCATTTAATTAAAATATCACTAAACCATGTACATGTCGACTTATTTTTACTTAAAAAAAATCCCAGAATTGCTCAAAAATGGCATTGCGCACACTCTTCACTATATCCATGTACACTGTTTTTTTCTCATAAATTAGAAAAATTTCACAAAAATGCATGAAAATACTCAACGTATACTACTCAAACATATTCCAAAATACTACAAACATGTAACTCACAAAATCACGATCATTAAATTAAAATATAATAAAATTAAAAAACACTACTTAAAATATAAATAAGCACATACATTAAATTAATAAAAATTAGATTACAATCCTAATTACTTTAAACTAAATCATTGCTAATAACAATTTTCAAATAATACCATTTTAATTTATTTACTCCTTACATTTAGAACAATGCATAAAAATAATATCCTCAAATGATTAAAAATACTAACTTACCTAATCTTCTTCAGAATCTTCATTACGTCGCTGCAGTACTACTGCTAATTTCTAAATCCTAAATCCAGTAGTCAACTGGAAGTGTATTCATGAAGTAATAAGAAATTAATAAAATTTCACCTATACTCAAACTACTTTCAGCAAACCACGTACCCTTCCTTACACTCCTTTTCACAAAATGTCCATTTTCACCATATTTCTTGCACCGCCATTTAAACTTGTAATATCCTTCCTTTCACACAATCTCAACTTTTTATTATTATCAGATAAACGCATTAAAAATTTAGAATTCACTTTACATAGCGCCATGCAATCCGAAAATTAATCAACCACTATTTCACACAACACACAATGAAGCTTTTCCAAATTAACCCCCTTTTCCGATTAAAGAACTGTAATTCGTCCATTAATGTCATGTTTCACACAACACAGAATATAGCTAAATACGAAACTTCCAGATTTCCCCCCTTTTCCGATTAAACAACTGTAATTCGTCCATTAATGTCACATGACATATCTCATGATCTTTCATTTCCCTCACACAAAATAATGCGTAATCGGAACTGTGTGCTTCTCACATTATTACCAAAGTCCTAGGTAGTAACCTTTATCGCCTCCAAAATGTCGCCGAACTACCGGTTACCATATTCCAAAGATCAGCCGAGATAATATCATTAGTGCTGGATTAGCATTAAAAAATTGTGAAATACTTAAAAAAAACTGCTTTATTTAAATTTCACTGTAAAATACTAAATATATTTAGGAGCCAAGCTCTAAGTAATTACTTTTTAAAAACAGCAAAATAAAATTTGTTGATAACTGTTAGAATCAACAAACAATAGGTTAACTATTAGCACCCCTCTGATGGAAATGCTCTAACACTGTTTTTTTCCCCTAAAATAGTCTTTGTAGTCACCTTTGTTTTGGAATACAAGTTTTATAAAATATTTGAACATCACAGTTTTCTCTAGAGGACTTTTAAATTTTAGTAAAGGAAACACTTGAATGTGGAGAAAATAATTATAGAACTGGAAACATTAATATGTGATCAGATGAAATATTTGCTGTATCATGAACACTAAAATTAATGAGTATTTTGTTTTGATACTATGGAATAGTACTAAAGTTTATTGCTGTGGGATAATTATATATGAAGTTAAACTTAAAACTAAATAGGCAAAAGAAAAGTAAGAAAATAAATAATGTATCTTAAAGTGAGCAAATTACTGATACGGCAAATTAGAATTTATTTTAAAATTAAAACTGAAAATGGAGTCAAAATTATATTTTCTGTATCATATAAAGTAAATATAGTGGTATAAATGACAAAAAAGTACAAAGAACTATATTATTATTATCTGACCCTTACATTGTCAAGAGGAGGTAATATACTCTTTTGAGCCAGATTAATTTTGTTTCTGTAAGCTTAAAATTATCGTAGGTGCTGAATTAATAATATAAATGATTTTAGTACTGTTGAAAATTTAAAACTCTTCCTATAGAATAAATCTAATCCATATAAAAAATATTCAGTATTATCAGTCCTATATATGTGAATACAAGTGAAAATTTCAAATAAAGATTAAATAATATATTAGAAAAAAAGACTCATATGATTTTTTACTCTGTTATACTTTGATAATAAACTAAGAAAAATGTTTATAGTGTCATTATATATAAAGGAAAGAAATAATTATGACAGTGAATACAGAGCTAAAAATATGATTACTTGTTTCTTGTTGAACTGGTGAAACAAATGTTCATTAGGAAAATCCGGAATGTTTGAGAGGGCTGACTAAAGAATGTGCAGTCCGGGTTTCTTTTGGCTAATTTTTATCCTCACCATATAATATAGGCAAGAAACAGAATTAAAAAAACAGTAACTTAAAAAAATTATTTGATAAAGTAATGAAAAATGGAAATTAATTAGCAGATTTTACAAAGTAAAAAAAATATCCAGCTGAATGGCAAACTAATAGCAACTCGGAAAAATAAATTTTACGTATTTTTTAGTCAAAGAAAGGAAAGATATATAAAGAAATATCATACAAATTTTACAAAATAATACTATTTGCATTTATACTCTATGAAATTATTTCTCACACATCTTTAATATTCCTCCTAAAAAATGGTTTAAGAATAGCCTTCATTAAAACGTTTTATTTGATTATTAATAGCATTACGTATAACTTTTCTAGACATGTTAGAAGACCAGTTTGTAAGATTTATAGTAGTAAAGTTGAAATCTTTTTTTGTCATAAAGCCTTAATTCTTTAGGTTAACAATGCATAGATCTAGATAATTTGCTTCTAACTGATGTGAGTTGGTCTTATTTAATTTCAGGCATTCAGGGTAAATAGTGCAGATTTCAATGAGATTAAAATTGTTAAAGGGTATTAACAATTTTAATCTCATTGAAACAATTTAAACCACACACACACATATATATATGTAATTGTTATTTTGAAAAGATCCCTTTGTATTTGCATATTTTTTAGAAAAAATATTTCTTGTAGATTTATAAAATTAAAGTAAAATTAGTCTATATTGTAAAGAAATTATTTCGTGGATTATAACGAATTTATAGGATTATTTTATTTAAATGAAAATGTCTTATTGAATTTCTTATTAGGAATACAGAATTTTGATGTAAATACTTTAAGACTAAATCAATGAAAAATTTTATGATAACTCGAAGTTATAAATTTGTCACAAAGTATTAATAGGGAAAGGACCATATATTGATGGCATTATGTGAACATTTCAAAACTGTTTTGTAATGCAACCATGTGGAAATACACTGACACATGTATCTTTTTTCATTGTGAGGGTTAATTATCAACAATAATATTTCTAAGCATAGAATTTCTACAGAAAATGATATGAAATGTCCTAATCATTTTCTGAATTTTTTATGGGCAATGAATGTATTTTAATGTTGTCTAGAAAATACGTGAATAATATTTATTAAACTCTCTTAAACCATATGCATTGTATAAGGTAAAATATAAAACTGTTGATCATATCTATACAGTATACTTTTTTAATTAAATAAACCTTTTAAAAAATCATTATTGACATTTATTCAGAACTATCACAATGAATGTAAATAAACTTAAAAAATTCTTTTTACTGTACTTTAAAACTGTGCTGTTATCAATAAAAGCCATTAGGTCCCATCTTAAAAGCTACTGACAAATCGTACTTTTATACCAGTACTTAAAAAAATTCTGTTTCTTAATGTTCGGATGTTGACTCATGCCAAACATCAGCAATACTGAATGTTATCTTATCCTGTTATCCTTTCTTCTAAAACTAATAAAACCCATTTAAAGCCCATTGTTGGAAAAGTGTTTGGTATTGAATGCGGTATTCTTTGGTTAAATAATCTGGTTGTATGAGGTTTTTCATAGTTTCTGTTGTGTTTAACATAAATACAATTCAATCTTGAAAACCTCCCATAAAGAAATCTTCTTAAAGTTGATTCTGTTTCAGTTCTTTGCTATATGAATATGTCTACCTATCAAAAGCTTATTAAACTAGCTTGTGCTTGACTTCTCTTATATGTTGAAGATGTCAGAAAATTAAGTAAATTATTATAGTTTTTTTAACTGTGACATTTCTTGAATCCTTTATTAAATATTCTGACATACATTTAATACATAAAGGTTAATTCTTATTTAACAAATTCCATGAAGGGAAATATTATAAGAAAATAAATTAGTCTTTAATTTCATGACACTGATTTGTTTCTTATTTTGCAATATTTAAGGTTTACAGTAATAATATTTAAGGCTTACAGGCGGAGAGCAGAAATCTGTAATGACTTTATTATGTATTTAAAAATAGGACTTTTATTAATTTGAATTTTAGCACTTATGTAGCAGTATTAAATATCCAAATGCAAATAAAAAAAAATCTTGTTGTATTAAACATCAGATGCATACAAGCTTTATTAAATAATTGAATGTCTACATCCTGAATGAAAATAAAATAATTATATACTTTTTTGTCATAATCCGTAATTTTGGCAATGAAACAGGCTTCATTTGCTGCCAGCAGAAACTAATGAAGATATCTAAAATTAATTAATTGAAAATAATGAGCAATATGTAATAACTTATTAATTTTTTTTTACAAATGCTACTATGAGATAGGATATCCATTTAACATATATAAATATAACCAGGTTCACATGATAAATTAGGCATCATAAGTCATTAGCAATATTTAATCAAGTGTGCTTAAACTGTATTGTGTACTGTTCTACTAAATAAGGTAATATAAAATGCAATTTATAGTAAAGATTATTATTTATTGTATGTATGAAAATAAGGTTTTCTGAGATTTAGTTTAATCTGTAACAAAAAGTATGTGAAGATTGAAGAAATTTAGTTTTTGTACTGTTCAAAGAGATGATAGATATAAAAAAAATTCCTTTTCTCAACACACAAAATAATGAAAATATTAATATTATTTTGTAGAGTTGAGTTCCATTCCTTAATTAACTTGACTTGGTCCCTTACTGAAATTGGCAGTTGAATCAGCCTACCTATCCTATGAAAACAACAGTAGATACAGTAGAAGGTTTAAACAGACTTTTTATTTAAACTGTTACTTAACAATATACAGCTTGTGCTTACATATAAATTTCTATTGCTTGCAAGATTTCCAGGTGACGTAAAACTTAAATTAACAGTAATTGATTCTGGAGATTTACAGTCTAGCAAGCATTGATACCATTTCTACTTAATTGTGTGAGTAATGTGGCTGACCAAAAGCTAATGCCAAATAACTTTATTTTCAGAACAAAGCAATGCATTGCTGCCAAAGTTCTCTAACTTTCAAGAACTGTGTTCAGATATGCACATATATACTCATTTGAATCCTAATGAAAGCTGATGAAAAGTAGAAGTGATAATAAGTTTCAAAATCATAAGATAATGGACTAATTAAACTAAGTACCTTATAATTAATATAACACTATGAGAAAAAGGAGAACTGATGAAGACTGTTTAACAGAGGAGTATAGGCATGCAAATAAAGAAAAAGGGAGTCAAATATTTTCGTACTTCCTGATGTACTCATGCTTATCATGTAGGAAGACAAGTGCATGAATTTGTGGGATGACCTTTAAACTGGAAGCATATGTTTAGTAATATAGAATGCCATGAATATTATGAATAATTCATAAGGCAGTTTGTAATTCTGGTTTTTTCTAATATTACTACACAGTTGGACCTTTCTGGGGAAATTTCATGTACTGAAGCATGAAATTTCAGCAGACAATTCTCTGCAAGTATGAATAGTAACAAAACTAAGCTTAAGTGGTATAGTAGTCAGTAAGGTTGTCAGTAGGTGAATTATGTCATGTTAAAAATATTTGTTATTTACCATTTGACTAAAGACTATTCTGAATTTATTTTAAATGCAACATTTTTACTGTATATAGCAGTACCTAAATTAAGGCATGGGTTCTGAACTGGAAGAGAATTTCATAATTTCAAATTCAGGAGGGGAATAATATGGTCAGCCTTTTATTTAGTTGTTAAGTATTTAGTTCTGGTTTGTGAATATAAAATACTAATTTTATTCGAGTTTTGGTATTTATTAACATATTCTATACTTTTTGTTATTTAATTTTTAAATTATGAAAAGAAAAGGAAAAAAAAAAAAAAAAAAACTAAATAAATATGTATATATTTTTTGAGTTTTAGAAAGGAGAAGAAATGATATAGTAATGAAAAGGGAGATGGTGCAAAGCAGGTTGAGAACCTCTGAGTTAGAGCTTAATTACTATTTATCAATTGATGGATGTAACTAATTATCAATTTTAATCCATGCTATGCAATATAATATGTTGAAAATAGGTCTTTGTTATGGACTGTCGAGTCTGGTTATGATGATGAAAGGAAGTGTTCCTGTTATTGGTCATGATGATCCCGAGACTGATGGATAGTTGAAATCCCATTGTATATATTTATATAGAAAAATTTATTCAGTTTTTTGAAAGTATTCACAGTATTTCCCACAGAATTACTAAATAGTAATTTGATAGCATATTTGTTACAGCAATCTGTTTTCAATGAAGAGAGTTTAGTTTTAGTTGCCCCTTAGAGTAAATATTTCCAAATTTTAAAGCTTTTATCTTTTCTCTCTCTTTGTCTCTCTTTTAAAATAACAGTTCATTTTAATAATAGTAAATTTATAATTTACACTCATTCTTCTAATTTGTTATTTCAAAATGTAATGCATCTATTTGAATTTCATGTTAAAGAATAGCAGCATACATAGAGTAATATTAATTTTATTTATGCGCAATTTTTCCCCATGAAACTAAATATTTTGAAAATATCTATAAAAATGCTGTTATCATATTGGCCCAAAGCTGATACTTCTGTTAAAAATGTCCTTCTGTAAATAAGTAATAAAAGGGTATTTCTTATTACTTAAATTATAAGGAAACAGAAATACTTAGTTTTACCTAAAAACACATGAAAAAAATTATATCAGCATTTTCAACATACATGGCTCAAATATGTGAAATGATCTTCTAAATAGGCTGTTCCTTTTACTTGTAAAACACTTTAACAAAATATAGGGCATATTTTATATTCTAGTAGAGATGATACTTAAGTATTTTAGCTGTGGTATAAAAAAAATTAAAACAGTATTGTTATTTTTATTGTAATTTTAATGAAACGTTTAATGAAGTATCATTGGATTCAGATGTGTAAGTTACATCTGAAGCTGTCCTATTTTATTAAATAAATTTTAAAGTTAGGAACAATCTGTTTATTATCGTTTCTAACCCCCTATTTATTTATTCATCTTATGCATGCATTAAATTACTGAAGCATTGTTTATTATACTGTTTGATGTTATAATTGCTAATAATGTTTTTGTAAATTAATTTTATTTTGAATATATTGTAGGGGCTGGTGAAAGCGGAAAAAGCACACTGGTGAAGCAGATGAAAATAATACATAGTGATGGCTTCACTACAGAAGAGCTCAAAAGTTTTAAAGTAACTTCTTTTAATTATTGTAATATGTGAAGATGCATATGCTTGCTATAATATGTAATCTAATTTATATCTAAAGGCATAATGTGCATAACTTGGAACTATTATTTTAAGTTTGTCAAAAATTAAAATTAGCATATTGACTGTTTACTTAAATGGACAAATAAATTTTTCCATATAGTATATTGAAAGAGGAATCTTAAATAGCATTAATGGGAAATGGCAGACGAATGTAAAGTACTTTCGCATTATTACGCCCAGTGGTTGGAAGAATCGTTGGTCAAAGCACTATGCCACCAAGGTAGGCAACCCAGAATGTAATAAACATGTTATATCTGCCATCTCCCAAGTGGATGGTGGACAAATGGTTGTGTGCACATTATGCCAGCATGTAATGGACACTGTTATGGAAGTCCCATGAAGTAAATGATCGAATTTTATGAAAATGTATTGTTAAAAATTACAAGCAGAATGTTCAAGTGCGAGTAAGAAATTGGTTCGAGATTAGCCAAATATTGTTTACAACAGCTGTTCCTTTATTTATTGCTGGTAAGTTTTGTCACTCTTACAGTTTTTATTGTCTTTATATGTCTCCAAATGTCACTACTGCAATTTTCTGCAAGAAATATACGTTTCTAGTTTGGAAAAAGGAAAACGTCAATTAGTTGTTAATGCTGTGAAAGATTAAAATGTTTATACTAATTAAAAATTGATTAAAGCATAATGGGTATTATATATCCAGTTTATTTGTGTGTGCCTATTTAGTTCATCTTGAACATTCCTGGAAGTTTCAGACTGTAAGCAGTTTGATTCAACTTCTCCACTGAGTTGTTTTTAATTAGAAATATCTATATTTTTTCTGCTGTTTGGAATTAACAAAATTCTTGTAGGCCAACCAATGGCCAAGTGCACAAGCCATAAAATGTCGGTAATATATGGCCCTCACAAATGTTATTTCTAGCAATTAAATGGGCTGGCTGCATGAGCTTTTGATGGTTTTCCTTGCATGTAGCTTTAATACAAGCTATGGAAAAATTCCTTCATAAAGTCATCTCTTCGCATATGCTTGATATCTTTAGCATGTTTTACTAAAATCAAGTAATCTAGTCCAATTTCTGCAATATAATGCATTATTTGATAAAGAGTAGAATGTTAAGATATAAGATTCCACCTTTAGCACTAGTATTGATTATAAAAGTTTAATGCATTTCAGGAGACAAAAGCAGCAGTTTCATCTAGATGTAAATAATTTGACCTTTAAATAATAAATAAGAATAATAAGAATAATAATAAATAAGATTAAAAATCAGAAACAAGTAAGTTATGTTTTTCCTGAGGAAATGAAACTTCTTTTCTGATTTGCAAATTGCATTCAATCTTTTCAGTTATTATCAGTGCTACATAAACTGTAGCTTTGTCTGTTATTTTTGGGGTAGCTGTATAATCAATTAATAAGGCATGCATTTGTCACTATATATATATATACTGTATCCATCAGATGTTAATTGTAATGTTAATTTTCTTTTGTTTTTTTATTCTGTTTTTTTATTTTTTCTATAGGCAAATTTCAGTTAGGTTTCCAGCTGATTATTGCTCTTTTTAATGTCTGCCTCTTTATTCCTTATCTAAGAGGCTCAGGAAAATTTTAAAATTACTGTTATTTAATGCATATATCAGACATATTGTTGCCTCATGCTTGTTATAAGCATTATTTTGTTAATGATACTCGTGTATGTTTGAAATCTTGCAATAGAAAGTGATGGATGTATCATTGCCATTACCAGTGGAAATTAAAATCAGAGTATATTCTTTATATGGGCATATTTTTTTAAAGTGAAAACATTTCATATTCTTTTGATAAGAAATAGTAAGCAATAAAATAAAGTACTAATTAGAGATAGTTGAATTGTGAAAGTTAACTATTCTAAGAATTGAGTTGACCTCTGATAAATTTAGAAATCCTGGTAGTAATTAATCTGTAACTGAATTCAAATGATTAGTTCTGCTTCTTATGAAATATGAGGATGTGTGCAAAGAAATAATTTAATAGTTTAAATTCTATTTTTGTTAGTAGAGTTCCCTTTGTTAGTAAGGTCTCCTTTGCCACTTTGAGAACAATTTGCTTAACAGAATATCACATAATGGTAAACATAAAACATATATAAAGAACATTAAATTAAAAATTGCTTACGAGATCATGCATCAAATCAAAATGTTGGTTGAATTTTAATGAAATAAGAAAAGGGTATTCAATAGGCAATGCAGTTTTATATATTGTACATATTTATATAAACAAATAGAATTTTTTGGTAAATTGTTAATGTATCAGGATAAAAATAACTTAAATATTCCATTGACAGAAACAAATGGAGAAAAGGTTTCTTTTTTTTTTTTTTTTTTTTTAATGTGCAAATAAGTTACAATCATCATCAGCAGTCATGATTCATTTTTTGTATTTTTTTATCATGCTGTATTTAGAAATGCATTATTGTGTATATTTTCGTTGGTTATATTACAAAGGCTTTTCCTTGTTTATAATTTTTATTTATTTATTTATGTTTAAATTATGCACTAATTGCTCACATAATCCTTTTTCTTTATTTGTTGTGTCTTTCTTTTTTGACAGCCAACAGTGTTGGACAACATATTAAGTTCAATGAAGTATGTACTCACAGGCATGGGAATACTGCGTATCAATTTAGAAAATGCCAAAAACAAGGTATTACATTTCATTATAGATGTAACTAAGTTTCTTATTTGTTTATTTTTTATATTTCCTTAAAAATTAGTATTCATTGAAATTTAATTAATTTTCCTCTCAATCTTTTTAAATAATTGTGTAACTGCCATAATAAATACATAAAGAGCAATATAAATAAAAACAGATTAAATGTATAAATATATTCTTGATCAAAAAACACACATGCTAAATTTTCCAAATTGTTAATGAAATTGTACATCTACGTATTAATGCAACCACTTTTGCCAAAGTTGCCAAGTTTTCATATTGTGCCAAATTCTGGCAACCATGGTCATAACTATTCTTCATTGTTAGCAATCAACATTGTCATTTTAATAGGGGTTCTTTTTATTGTATTCCAAGTTCCATTGGTTTTTATAAACAAATCATGATATTTTTTGCTTTAAGATCAATTTTAAAGTATGATAGGAAGGATTTGCCTGGAATGGAAGAAACTCTAGTAAGGTTTCTGCAACAATATAATATTTTACCACAGAATTGCTGAAGGGAGCAATTGCTTTAAATTATCACTTAAAACAATTATTATGCTATTTCTACTAGGACAAAAGAAACAGAAATCTGTTTGCAAGTTGTTTTATTAAATGATTTTTAGAATAAATGCCTAGTTAAAATGTAAAATATGTGTGCATTTAAGAAATTTTTTTTTAACAGTTATTAGCCCAGAGGAGCCTTAGCTCAGAAGGGCTATTAATTTTGTTTTGTCATTTTGTGTCGATTCACTGTAAATAGTATCTATCACTTTTCAAACTTTTGCCATGAAATATTATCGCCCTGTGTTATATTTAAAGAAATTAAACAATGAAAAATCCGCATGAATGCATGCATGTTTCTCTCATCGTGATAAAACAACAGTACCTAGAGCCATCAAATTTTGAATAACGTATATATCCACCTGAATATGGACATCTGGCAGCCCAAATTTGGAATTTAAAATTTGTTTTATTATCTATTTCATAATTTGTAAAGCATTTATGAGTTTTTGATTAAGAAACTCAATGATTTCAAAGCAAGCAACACTGCAGCACTTGGCAGCACTGCGGGGAAGGGGGGAGGACATTTTCACCTTCAGCGTGTGAGACTACGTATTGGAAATTTTAAAGATATGCTCATTTTAAAATTATTTTGCTGTTGAATTGAACTTTATTTGAAGTGTGAAGAACATGATATTTAGTAAATAAAGGTAATACAGAAATGTTTAAAAAATGCTCCTTTGGGTGTAATGTAAAATTGGAAATTTTTTTTTTTAAGTATATTTTTTTTCCTTCTGTAAAAACATCTCCAAACAATATACAAGCACCAATAAAAAAAGGATAATGTAAGGGAATTAGTAGCATAATATCTAGCCATATTATATTAAAACTTCAGTGTTCTGAATGTGAAGACTTTTATAGAGCTAAATTAGTTTGTTCTAGTTTTGTTACTAGTATTCAGTTTATTTAACGTATAAGTAATGATCACACTAATTATGACAAAACATAACTGAAATAGTTTTTATTACAGTGTGAGATGAGAAAATACTTGAAATTATGCAAAAATTAAAAAAAAAAAAAGTGTTGAAATAAAAGCTGCCAAATTAAATCTTTATTTTTAAATCAATGAGCATTAGTTGTGATATGATTTTGTAACAAGTCACAATACTGGAAATTTTGGCTTTACAAACTCTATCCTTTCACATAAATTTTTGTAGACTAGTGTTATTAGATTATTATAAACCTGATCGTTATGCATAGGTTTTTGTAGCCTATGACAGCATTAGAAATGTTGACTTAATAAACCGTATCCTTTTGTTAATTAGCTTGTCAAGTGTTTTATTGTGCTGGATACATGCCCAGAAAATTATTTAATGTTTTTGCTGGAATTCAAACTCATTTGCATGTATATTGCATATCAGGAACTCATTTTTATATATATTGCATGTCTAGTTACACTGTCCCATTATTCTGGCTTCTAGTATCTTGATTGCCTTAGTCTTTGTACATTTTATGGTGAAATATTACTTTTTAAGACCACAATGTTGATACTGAAAATTCTGTAGTCTTAAAAACAATTTGTAGTAGAATTTTGTTGACATTCAAAAGTCTGTGTTGTTTTAATCAACTAATGTAGCATACTTTCAGTGTGTTCTTTGTGCCCTACCTAAAAATCATTGCAAATTATTCCAAAATATTCTATATCTAAAATTGAGTATATTATGTTGCTTACATCAAGATTGATTCTGATGGTAGCTTAAAGGCATTCTTAGATTTTTTTTAATAATTTAGTGTTACAGTTGCAGTATTGTATTAATTATGTATGCTTTGTATAGAGACCAAAACTCCAATTGTAGAAATAAGGAATCCATTATTTAACTTTTAACATGAGTTATACTTTAATAATTAGAAACAGATTTTACAGCTAAGCTGAATAATGTATTATCCATCATAATGAATTTCCACAAAACATTAAAAAATGTTATTAATAATTAGTTGATTAATAAATTAGTTAAAAAGTGATTACTAAATGCTTTTAAATAAACTTCATAATATTTTTTTAGAAGCAATTATCCAAACTTGTACATGAAAAACACCCTCTTTCTGTATAGGAAAAAACTTCATGAAAGACATCATTTTGCTAATAGTAAAAATCAGTGACAGTTACTTTCCCCCCTTTTTTACCTAGTGTTTTGTTCTTTCGTATATAACAGTTTGCAACTTTAGTATATTTTATAGCTAGCAGAAATCGGTTATTATGTACTTATTCCTTTCTTAACAGAAAATATCATCATATTTTCCTTTTGTATTTTGTACAGTAATTGAAATAACATCTGTGACTGATATAATGCATTTGAAATAAGGAAAGAATATTGAATCATACTGTATAATTATATATGTTCATTAAATTATAATTGTGTAAGCAAGCACTTAAACTATTTCTTCTATTTCAAGTCTTGAATTCTATAACAGTTTTTATTTCGTAGGCTCACGCTCAAACAATTTTATCTTGCCAATGTTGTTTTGATGAAAATTTTGTGATGCTGCCATTCATCTGTAATTCATTACGAAATTTATGGAATGACAAAGGTGTAAGATTAGCTGTGGCTCGAGGATATGAGTATGAACTTAATGATTCAGCACTCTAGTAAGTAACATCATTTTTATTTTGTATTGTCATTGATATTCTTTACACAACATGTTTACTAATTTATTTCAGTATACTATTCAACAATACAGAGAACAACAGGATTAAAATTAATTATTTATGATTTTTTTATCATAAGGGGTTTATTATAAGTGCTTTTAGTGAATATGTAGTATTAATCATATAAGATATCTCTGGGTTAGCCTCACTCTTTAGATGCACTTTGCATTGCCTTGTGTTTAACATTCTTAATAGTTTTAAATTTAACAGCTGATTGTGCTCTGTGATCCTGTGAACACCTGTACGAGTCTTTCTGTGGAGAGGTCTAGAACTCTGAAGTGTTTCTTTTGATAAAATAAACTTATCGACTTAGCATTGGACCTGTGTGCATTCAATCTATTATGAACCCATATGCAGCCAATAGTAGATAGCCATTATTGGCTCTGCAATTCTCTGATGTTTTTTTAAGTGGAAATAGATCGCTGTGTACTTGGAGAGAAAAACAGTGAAAAAAAATTTAGAATGAGGGAATTTTATTTTTTTAGTGTTCTTATAATCCTTATTTAAGAATTAAAATCTTTATTTGGTACTTTTCCGTTTTGCCGGCGCAGGCGATAAAGTCGCCAATAGTGGTACAACTGATGCCAAACGGAATATCCTCTGTGGTAACCTTTTACGCCTCATTTTCAAAACAAGTCGCAGCCATTTCTTATCAGATTGATTGTTTCTTTCAATACTGGAGTACAATTACATAGAATTTTTACTAGTTAAATTTTATGACCCTTAAGACCATTCGCGGTAATTAATTAAGATGCAATCACATCACTCACTCGAAGGCGAAAATATAGAAAAGGCGAAAGTCAAGGATTAAATTCATCAGATACAATGAGAATGTCCTAGCGAAGTAAAGCAGTGCGGTTTTACATAATTTCTGAGTAAGCTATTCGTACTAATTGAATTAATTCTTGCATTTAAACTTGTAGTCCATAAAATTTAATTTAAAGTTTAACGTGGTCGAAAACTTGAAATTAATGTAGATAATTACTGAGAGAATTAGATTTTTGTAGCGTAGTTTACGTGAGATGAGATCAATTAAGGTCAGGTGATATGAACCGGCGAATCAGGATCTTGAACAATGAAAGCATAGTAAATTCTTAAATTAATATCTTTTTACAAATTTATTGTCTTTATTTATTGGCCTTTTTATAAAATTTTAAAAATGATATTATAGCTTTATGCCTTCAAAATAAAAATTCTTAGAACTAACATTTTGTTAAATTTTTTATGTGTATACTGTTGTGTCGCCAATAAAGTCTGCTTGGCGAGATTTTGCGCCGGCGAAACGGAAAAGTACCCTTTATTTTAATACAGGTCGTATGGTCCTTAAAAGTCCTTAGTTTTTTTGGAAATGATTTTAGGTTCTTGAAAGTCCTTAATTTCGATAAAAATTTGACTTATCTCACATTTCTGTGTGTGTTTTTTTAAAACTGCCACTTTGAGTATGAATTAACATGTTGGAGGAATATATTTTGGCGATGCATTGATAAATATGTATTTGATCTCTTAACATTTGAATTCTTTCCTACTTCGTAATACGAGGGCTATCCAGAAAGTAGATTATTTTGGAATAAAAAATACAAAGTAGAGGAAACAAATTTTTTATCAGATGAAAGCCACACTCAAATAATATTTTCTACATATCACCATACAATTAAGGCATTTATCGTGCGATGTACGAGCTTGGAAATTCCTTCGTCGAAAATTCGGCGCCTGCTCCTTCAACACTTCGTTACCTCTTCTTGCTTCCATCTTGCACAAAACTTGTGGTAACCAAGCTTTCGCTGATGATTTCGTGCAACAAACGTCGGCGAAATTTGTGGAAAACTCAAAAAGTTCCGTTATTGTGAATTTCGATTTTCACGGACTTTAGCATCGACTTTTCGAGAAGTTCGGCGGTCACTATGCTGGGTCTCCCACTTCGATCTTCGTCATGAACATTGGTTCGGCCATTTGAAATCTTATGACCCACTGACGCACTCCACTTCAGTAATAATGTTGTCCCCATACACTTCACGAAGCTGGCCAATAGATTTTTATCGGTTTACAGTTTTTTGCAGTCAGAAACCTTATTACTGAGCGCACCTCGCAGCTCGCGGGATTTTCAATTAACGCAGACATTTCAAACCGTCACAGTATCTGAACGGAGCACAGCACGAACCTCTCACTAGCACGGCTAGATGCAGACTGAGCTGCGCAACGCTCTGACCCCAAGATGGCCGCGCTAGCCCCGCCCCTAGCGGACACAGATGGAAACGTAATCTACTTCCTGGATGGCCCTCGTATAAATGGTTGAGTTTTAGGCAGTGTTTATGTTTCAGTTGAGGTACGAACATTTCAAAATAATTTTTTTTTAAGGAAGAAAATGAAAATATTACAAATATTACATGAAAAACAACTTTTCCCTTTTTGAGATATGAGTTGTTTTATTGTGTGGTGCTAAATTTGGCAACTTATCAACATTTTGGCAATGTCAAGATCAGTTTGTGCACAAAATTTATTATTCTGTGATTTCCCCCTCCACTCCTGACTTTTTTCTTTTAAAAAACATAACAGCATTGATAAATATCATAAAAGTAATGATAATGTAAACGAGCCTTTAATATAAACTATGTTGAACTAACTAGCAACGAGGGTGCCCCCTGGTGAGTAGCCTTAGAAATACTTCAGTAAAAGCCAAGTGATGAACCTGTTAGGTTCTATTAGACTCTTACCCTGTAATATTCTTAAAATTAAATGTAATGTCTATATGTAATTTAAACTTGTTAATAAATTATTATTACATTATAAAGGACTCTTCTGTGATTCCATCCAACATGACCCCCTTTACAGTAATATATTAAAATTATGTTTAAGAAATAACATTAAAGTGAAGCATTTTTATTTTCTCCTGCCATATTTTAAAGTGACAGTTTTTTGGTGACTTAGGAATATTTTGATTTTGAAAAATGAAACAAGATATAAATGCTTATAAAGCTCAATTTCTGGAACACTTTTTAGAAAAAAACAAAAATGCAATGGTAATTATTTAAAAATTAATTTTATCTCTCTTCATTTGTATTTTTTCTTGATGAAATTTTTTTCTCATGTAATTGTTTCAGAATATCTAAATGTGTATCGGTTTTTTCTTGAAAATTCAATTTTCCTTTCAGACTTTAAAGGTTTAGAAGGATTTGAAGGCAAGATTATACCTACAGTTTCTAGAAAAATGTGCCAAAATGGGAAGTTTCTTCATCGTTATAACACATAATGGACATGTTTTGTAGGAAATTTGTAATAATTTTTTTATCTTTTGAAGGATTTTTGGCAGAACAGTGAAAACAAAGTTATTGAATCTTCTTCTTTTGATCCCAGAAGTCTTTCTCTTAACATTTTTATCTTCTCTGTATTTTATTATCTTTCCACTAGACACAGATATTGAAGTTATCTTAGAAACTGAAAACTGCCAGTTTTAAAAGATTATATACCGTATTTACTGGTGTATAAGACGACCAGCCTGTAAGGCGCACCCCCTTTATTATACACATTTTTGAAGGATAAAACTTTATTACTGATCATTACAAAGAGTTTACAGTATTTTAAATATAAAGTAATAAAAAGCAATACTTTCAACAAATACCCAATCTATCTGGGAAAGAACACCTTTTAATCTCCTTCGTCAAACCTGAGACACTCATCACCAGAGCTAAATGAAGAGTCACTTGAAACCTCTTTAAATCAGCATCTGAGTTCTCATTGTCCTCTGTACCATCCAGTGCATTATTAATGCCACACTTCTTAAGGGATTTAACCATTGTCTCTGTTTTCGTAGCATCCCATTAAGCTTTGACCCATTCACAATCTTGCGAAATGCTGGGCCTCTTCCTTCTTCCTGATGGTAAATTTGAAGACTGCATTCAGCTGTTCCACTTCTGCTTTATAAATCCCTTAAATACTTTATTAATGCAGACATCTGAAGGTTGAAGCTGACTAGTTAGGCCTCCTGGGAGAATGAAACTAATCCCATACTGTAGGGTAGGTTTCTTCAACAGTCCGACAGGGCATCTTGACCAAATTTTATTTATCCATAACTTCATTCCTCCTCCATCCATCCAACCTTTTGCGTGAACATGTATAAACACTCCTTTAGGCAATTTTTCTTTGGAAGTGTATTCCTTTAAAAAATCAATAAAGGAGCAATTTTGTCACATCAGCACTGCAGGATAAAACAACCACATATTGAGTTACCTTTGGAATCTACAGTTTTGTTTGAGGGCACATCAAAAATCAGAGGAACCTTGTCCATGTTTCCTATTTATGCAAGTTCAAAATTTTCTCATTTTTGTGCATTAATGACGAATCAATGAAATTCAATAATTTCCTTTTTTGGGAGGAAATTTTTTTAATCCACATACATAGCTGGTTTCTCTTCATGAATTTTGAACACCATGATGTTGATCCAGTAAAATCGGCAATCTCTCTATCAGTCACTATCGCTTTTGCTTGATGTGTAATCATTTTTGGTAGAGACTGAAAGTCTTGCTTTTCTGTGGTCTAAAAATCCAAGTATTCAGCTCTGCCATAAGTTCAGGCCTTTTTTTTAGATTCTCTTCCTGATTCTGCCAAATTCTTATCATTTTCTCAGTTAAGGGTGGCCCGAACTGCCTCTCTGCAGCCCTGTTTTCATGTTCTTTAGCATGTGCAGTCACACGTAGCTTGTATGCTATGTTATAGCAATGCAGACATTGTTTTTGAACCATAACATGCCAACAAATTTAAGAAAATTGAACAGTAGATATTTCACACACTTAAAAGTCGTTCACAAAAATTGGAAAGTTTAAACAAACTCAGCTGTGATCGTCGATAACAGCGCATGTGCATTCTCTGACGTAATTGTAATATTCCCACTCAAGGAAACAAGAAGAAAATTGCATAACCCCAAATGGAGGAAATTTCTAGAAATAAATGTAATCAAAGACTGAGTATCGATGTACAAGACGCACGCCGTTTTTCAGGCCTATTTTCAAAGAAAAAAAGTGTGTCTTATATGCTGGCAGTGTGTCTTATACGCTGGTGTATGTCTCAGTACACCATACATAACCTCAGTCCTGCCCTAAATTCTGAAAATTTTGTTATTCGTTGTTTCACTAAATCCTAAAAATTCTGCCACACTGGCTCTGCTGGCACCACCCATGACCTTGTATCATTTTACATTTATTCTCAATACTAATATTATTAAAAAAAAATAAAATTAGCAGTTTCTCATTCGATTTAAGTACAAGCCGTCGTTAGGAAGTTATGTGATAAGCACAAGCAGTTCTTTAGAATAACAGAAATCTTTAATTAAATCTAAAAATTGTAAAATGAAGATGAAACTCGTTCAAGAAGAAATTAATTTTATGAAGCGAGAGAAAATTATTCTTTAAAGCTACATTGTCAAAACATTAACAAATATAAACTTATAAAAGATGCTAAAGAGAAGCAAATTGATGTAAATTAGCTAAAATATCTGGAAAATTTTCAAATTAAAAATACGCATAAACATTGTGTTTTTAGTTATTGCTACAAAACCTAAATGCTTGTTAGTAGCTCCAGAAAATGTACGTGAAACTCCAATATTACTGTGTTAGACAAAGTGTAGCTAATCTTTCAACCAATTCAGCTATTAAAACAATACCAGTTTCAGGCTTTCATGTCTGTTCTGATCAGCAGCTCTCTATCCCTAAGCAAATGGCTGCAGTTGCAGTATCCAAGCTTCCATTGTGAGACATACTGATTATTATTTTCCTTCCCAATTTAACTTATGCGCCTTGATATAAAATTGGTGCAAACCTTTGGACAACTCTTTCTGATGGCTTCCAGATATTAACAGGACTGGGATCAGAAGCTATCTCTGTTCTTACTGACTTGTGGCAGTGCTGTCCCTGAGACTATCGGCTATTCCCCGTCCAGACTTCGGTCTTGACCTTCATCAGTCTTGTAATCTCTTATTTGGTCACCCTCTGAATGCACCTTCATCGTCTGAGGAGTACATTTAAGATATCCGTGCATGATTTGAAGTGGTGCACAATTTTGTATGAGAGTAAGTCAACTTGATGATGGAGAAAATGAATACTCCATGCGGCATGAGAGCTACAGGATATTAATTCAATGAAGGTGACAAGGTCTGGTTATGGAATCTAATTCGATCAAAAGGACTTTCTCCAAAACTACAGCCACCCTGGGACATTCCTTATACAGTCTTATACAGGCTTAACGACCTTGTAGTTTGAATCCATAAGTATTCAAATGCTAAGCCTGAAGTCGTTCGGTACAATAGGATAGCCTCTTACTATGGCCACAGTACATCGTTTGCATAGTATATATAATGTGCTAAGACCATGGTCCTATTTGTATATAAATTTGTTAATTTCTGCATTTATTTATTGCTTTAGTATTGATTTGTTTTATGTTATTTACTGAAATAATTGTCTTGGTATTGCATTGGTTTTCATTAGTTATAAGTATGGCTTCCTGCCCAGGGATTGTACTAAGACATGCAGTCCTTGGGAAGAGGTCAGTATTACAGATTTTGTACGTATGTGAATAGTTTTATTGAAATTATATGTGAAATTGTAGTATTTTTTTATATAATGTAGCATGAAATGCTTGAAAGAGATGAAGCTTTGCAGGTAAGATAAGATTACAAGAACAATTCTCTTGAAGTAAGAGGTTATCTCATTGAATTGTCAAGATATCGCTAAGCTGGTGCTAACTTTTGAAACTAATTTCTGTCACCAAACTTGATGACATTTTGGTTTGGTCCCTGAATAACTGCAATTGGTACTGTAATTTATCCCTATATGTAATTGTAATCATATCCGACCCTTATGTGTAACTTTGACAGTAATTTTGAGAAATGGAAGATATGAGAGATTTCTCAGTGGCTACAGTAAAACTGTGTAACCCCGAAGAGAGTATCCATTGCTAGTTCAGAGCTAGCTCGGAGCACTGAGATATCCATGAGAGCTTTGATTTTTAGGTGCACTTTGCATTGCACTGTGTTTAATGTTCTTAGTAGTTCGAAGTTCAACTACTGTTTGTGCTCTGTGATACTAAGAAGAGGTGTACAAGTGCTTTTGTGAAAAGTTCCATAACAGCAAAGTTTTTTTTGGGGGGGGAATTAATTTTATTAAGCTATTGTTGCATGTGTAAGAGTTTGTAATAGATCAAATGTGCACATAACAAGATTAGCTTAATAAAATTTATATTTATCCAAAGAAGCACTTTACTGTTCTGAAACTTTCCACAAAAATACTGGTACGGCTGTTCACAGTATCACAGAACAGAATCAGTAGTTACACTTCAAACAACTAGGAAATCAACAGAATACAAAGTGCATCTAAAAGGCGAAGCTCTCCACAGTTGCTCTGAGCTAACAAATAACTACAACTGAGAAACTGATGATGTCTCCTGTCTTATATAGTTTTTACCCGACCGCTAAGCTATTTCAAGTACTTTCTTCTTGAAATTACTGGAAGGCATACGAGGGCCAATTATTACACAGATCGTCAATTACAATTATATATGGACTGGCCTCCAATGTTGCCGAATGGTCACCAAGTTAGGTGACTTTTGGCGATTTCTCAACAAATTTGCCCACAAAAATTAATTCTCAAACCCTTGCCAGCTTGGCGATATCTCTCCAAATTAGTGAAATAGTCATTTATTCAATGTTAAATAGACTTGCCCTGTATTGTTATTTTTCCGGCTGAGCATCATATCTCTAGATATTTTTTTTTTTTTTTTTTGGTTACATTATACAGAAAAATAGAACAATTTCACATATAATTGCACTAAAATCATCTATCTATGTACAAAATTCATAACACTATCATTGGTTCTCTGTGCATTCAATCCATTACAAATCTGTACACATGCAAAAATATCATGCAATTATTTCTTCTGTGTTTATATAAATGCAGCTCATTCAAAGTGGCTGATTGTTCCATTAAATGACGATTTTTCTTATATGAAAAAATATGAGCTTTAATAAATATTAATTTGGATACTCCAAAATGTTACTACAAATGATTACTATAATTTTTCATATCAGTATTTTGACATTTAAAATTTTAAATCAGAAGTTGTATATTGAGAGAATCTACCTGTAACAAATAATTATCAGTTTATGATTGGAAATACTTCTTATCAATTATTATTGTTTTTGATTATATGCATTAATTTGGTCTAGAACTAATAATTGTTTTAATATGTATTTTGTGATTTTTTTTTTCATTTATAATAATACTAGTTGGTAAATTGTGTCTTTTTTAAGACATATCAATAATATTATATTCTATATATTAAATTGAGTAATAGCTATTAAATGTTTGTAAATAAAGTAAGTTACTTATTTTATTTTATATCTTTAATGTTCTCATGAAGTTATAACATTTAATTTTGATTTCTCCTAATAAACTGTTTAATTATTCCATCCCCCAAAAAATAACACAGCTAAAAAACATAACATATATAGAACATAATAAGGTACATATGTTAGTAATAAGTTTTATGTCAGGTAGTATAAATGCTACATAATCATGGTTGATTTTTCAGTCTGAAATTAACAGTTTATGCACTTTACAATACAATAAGGAAATATGTTCATTTACAAAATAAATAATGAAAATATTTAAAAAAACCTCTTTTTTGTAGTTTAATCATTAACTTTGATATTTTATCATAAAATTTTATCATTTATTGATTTAATATTTAATCATTTAACTTTGATATTTTATCATAAATACACCAAATATTGTGTGTTGTGTTCATGACTATTATTAAAATCATTAAAAATGTCATTTCTGTATTTTATAGAGGGAAAAATTAAATGCTAATGAAATAGCCTTAGTGATAACTGTTATTATTCATTCCAGCTGATTTTGAAGATTTTTTAATTCACTTCCCATTGTGTTTGTCAGTGTTGTTCTCGATAGTTACAAAAAGTATTAGGTGGAACTGCCCATCCAGTTTGTATGCTTTAAAATTAATAGTGCTTTGTTTAATTGATTATGGCAGAATGGGCAAAAGCTTTAGGCTTTAGGAAAGGTACCTGGTATTCATCTTAAATGGGAATACAAGGGGACAAACTACCAGTTTTTACTGGTCTTATTCCTTGGCTGTTGATGGGCTAAAATCAATCAGCTGTACTTGTAATGATTTTAGAAATAAAGTAAAGTATAAATAGAAGATAAAACACTTTTTACAAATAATGCATATAGCTATAGTAAATCGTATGTAACTTTTCATGAATTCTGAAAAACTATTGTAGATATTAGTTAATAAATATAGCTCTTATAAAATGTATCTTAGATCATAATAGTCACCCATATTAAACTACACAATTCTATCCCATATATTTATATAATGAACAATCTGCCTTTTAATAATATCAAGGATACAGTTATGAATCCTCATAAAGCCATAAAATTCCATGTCAGAGAAATATAATATAATTGCTGTATAGTAAATTATGCAATATGATAAGCATTTGATGTTATTCTCATCTCTGGTCTTTGTCTTTTGAAAAGCTTGTTTGAAAGTATGGATCGTATTTGCTCAGAAAAATATGTGCCAACAGCCACTGATGTCCTCAGAGCTAGGGTACGCACAACAGGCATTATTGAAACTCATTTTAAAATAAATGATTTTGTGATACGGTAAGTATCTCGTATTCTGATCTTTTTGTCAAACACCTTTTATTTTCTTGTACTAATCAGTGATTATTGTATGTAGAATTGTTCTGGAAAATTTCTTATTGTCTTTTACTATGGTAATAGTATCATTTGATATTTTTAAGAAATAGTAATTACTAAAACAAAAATGCAGTTGTTAACTTAAATGCATTACCAAGTGGGATATTTTGTGCACTATAAACATGTAATTTTATCTTGTAAAATGTATAAAAATCCTATCTTATTTAAATTTTTGTGAATAACTTTGATGCTACAAATAGTTATATGTGTTGTAATGTATCCTATATATTAATTTTCATTACTGATCAAGACATGGCTAGAGTAATAGACTACAAAAAATACACTACCTGAGAAAGATGCCATGAAAGAATGATTGTAAACAGACCAACTTTGTACATAGACAGATAATAAAGCACTTAACATATGATTTAATTTTCAGAGATGTATAACAGTAAGATACTTAGATCTGCAGGTCATCAATAAGATGCTGTGTCCTCTTTTCAGGCAGTACATTCGTGAACATGTTGTTGCATCGAACTAATTGAATCACTGAATGATGTTCTGTAGTATCATATACCATGTGTTATTGATGTTACTTCTCAGTTCATCTTTATTTCATGAAGAAGGGGGAGGTATTCAGCTGACTCCTAATTGAGTACTACAAATGCTGTACTAGCAAGAGATTAGGACATCTGGTTGGCCAAGGGAGCACTGCATACCTTTTATTGCATTTCAGGGTGAGCCGAGTGGTGTGTAGTAAAGTATCATTTAGTTGAGAAATGGCATTTGGGGTGCCCTGAAGGTATTGGGTTTCAGTATGTTGTCAGCATATTGATATCCCACTCGTGTCCATAATGTGCATTACAGATAAATTCCTGTTAGCACTAATTGCACCGTAAGCCATTACTCTGTGTTGGTAGGCTATATGTCGTTCAGAAATGGTTAAGGCGTCTGTCCAATAGCCATGTTGCCTCCAAACCCTCACATGCTGATGATCATGAGGCAGAAGTGAGATTCATTGTCGCATTCAGCATGCCACACAACTCTATTGTAGCAGCAGTGCAATAGCTTTGTGCATTCTTTGGGGCTTGCATCCTGCATGTTAATCGTCTGATTGATTTGCAGATGCCGTACATGTGTACCCCCACAGAAATTTGCATTTCAATGCATTTGCTGCGTTATGTTGCAGCATTGTCAGACAAAGTTATGTAACCAAACCCTGCTATAGCAAACCAGGCTTATAACATACTTTTTGGTTCTGTCCAATTCCTTGTAGACATAATGTTATTTTGTATGGCTATATGGAACTTATATATAAAATTCCTAATGTATAAAAGTTGGTTATAGCAATAACTAGTGAATATCTTAGATTGAAAATTTATTGTATTTTTCAAACTTTTTTACAGAATATCTGCAATACTTGCAGCAGAAAAATTACTAATTCTTAAATTCGTCCTGTTAAGGTATTGGAATGACAAAAAACACCTTCTACAGATTTGATTAACTTTTTTTCATACTTGTCAAAAAATAAATACTCTAAGTTAAAAATTTTTGCAATGAGAATAATCGCTTTGTTTGGAAGTACTGACATATTATATATCAACAGTCATTTTTCTGCAGTTGAAAATTAGCAAGTCTAAAAATAGAACCAAATTTACTGATGAGCATTTACAATTCATGATGAAGATAGTTTCTAGTAAATTTTTTCTATGTTTATGAACTTTAGTAAATTCAAAATGCCATCAGGTATTGTTACTGAAAGTTGTAGTAAGAAATAAAGAAGTTTATTTACATACAAATGTGCATTTTTTACGTATTTATCAAAGAAAAATTTAATAAAGAAATAGAAAGAGTTTGAATTGTCTTTATTTATTTTCAAACTTTGACCCATTTGTAAAGCTTTTGTAATTTGCTTATTTTTAGTTAAGATAAAAGTAAGTTATTTAATGATTTATTCAATATATTAGAATTATTTAACCCTTTCGTGGGCAGTGGGAAGGTTACTTCCCACCTACATGTTCCTGGGAAATATACCTGTGGGAAGCGCAAAACCCACTATAATATATTGGCTTTGCTATTATAACGTTGGGAACTCTAATTCCCACTTCAGTATTGTGCTGCCATTTGTGTTCAATCGATTGAAAACAGAATTACCACATTTGTTTTGAAAGTTTGAACGCGTTGTGTGAGATCTGTTCCACTGAGACACCTGTTTTGATTTGACATTTGCATTGCTATACGATTCTGCTACAAATGTAAGTAAAACACTATTTTTATTATAACGTTTCTTATTTTGTATATTTCTGCAGTAACTATCTAATATTGAATAATAAAATAATGGGTGAAAAGTGAAAATGCTGTTGCATCATGTATAAGAGCCACGTGCAATAGGTATGTTGGAAAAATTAGAATATTTTTGAAAATATCATTCAATTCTACTGAGAAAAAAAAGATTATTTTGGCATGATTTTTACTGAGGAAATTTTACAGAATATTGTTGACGAAACAAACTCATATGCAAAGTAGCCTAAGAAAAGGGAGAGATTGGGTCATACCACAAAAGACATTATCCTGAACTGGAAAGAAATCACATCAGAAGAATTGAAAGCATGGGTAGGTATGCATATACATCAATTGCCTGAACTGAAAATCTACTGGAGCGCAGACCCTATTCTCAATGTTCAATCAGTAGCAAGAATAATAATCGCAAAGAGGTTCAAAAATATAACTGAGACTTTACATGTAAACGATAACAGCACAAATCCTTGTGGGCAATTTGGGCATGATAAACTCCATAAAGTCAGGCATCCTCTCATAGCTCAATGATTCTATACCTAAAGTCTACGAACCTTCATCAACACTATGAATAGATGAATATATGATAGATCTCAAAGGGAGAACTTCATTGAAGCAGTATATGCCAATGAAGCCTATAAAAAGAGGTTACAAGGTGTGGTGTTTAGCAGACTCTAAGACTGGATATATTCAAAAATTTGAAATTTATTGTGGAAAAGAAACTTCTGATAATAAGGATAAAATATTGAGCTTAGGAGAAACAGTAATAACTAAACTAATGGAAGATGTGAAACAGACAGGTCATCTTATAGCTTATCATAACTATTTGACATCTTTTAGGCTTGTAAAAAGTCTACTTATAAGTGGTCTGTTTTCTGTGGGGACTGTGAGGCTGGAAAGGAAGGATCTTCCACCAATACTGAAGGCTAATAACAAACTACAAAGAGGGGAATCAGTGTTCCTAACTAAGAAAGGTGTTGCTGCAATAAAGTGGATGGTCAAAAAGGCTGTTACATTGTTGACTACTGCACATAATTCAGCAATTATTACATCTGTGAGTCGTACGAAAAGGGATGGTACTAAAACAGAAGTACCTTGCCCTAAAGCTATTGCTGTATGTAACGATATCATGGGAGGGGTTGATTGCTTTGATCAAAGAAAAGAAAGGTACCAAATAGGAAGATCTGTAGAATGGTGGCATCGTATTTTTATTTTCTTATTGATCTTCGCATCGTGAATAGTTTTATACTGTGGCAAGAAAACAAGAGAAACAGAAGTTTAGACCAGCTAACATTCCATATAGCATTAGCTCGTCAACTAATAGACGGATATTCCTCGAAAAAAGAAAGGCCCTCCTGCTAGCTTCCAAGCAAAAAGGTGTGCAGTTCCGGATGATGTACGCTTAGTCAGTGTGGGAAATCATATGCCAAAGATGGTTTCCAACTATAGACGATGTAAGAAATGTAGCACAAAGGCCCAAGAAAAGAGGGCCTGCTATATGTGTGCAGTATCTAAAGTACCCTTGTGCATTGCAACATGTTTTTCATCTTTTCACGGCAAATATTCAGCTTTAAATTGAATTTTCTCTATGACCATAAAAGGTCCCGTGGGAAGTATACTTCCCACCCCTAGAATTTAAATGTAAACAAAAAATTTGGCAAAATAAAATATATTTCCTTAAATGCTATTGTTTAATTGATAATAAAACATAAAAAAACAGGAGAAATTCAAAAGAGAAATAAATGGCCCACGAAAGGGTTAAAATAAATATCAATCTGAAAATTTTATATTTAGCCGTCAATAATGTTTAAATTACAGAATTTAGTTATAATTATCTGAAGTTTCTTGCAGATGCCAGCCTCAAGATTTAATTTTAAAAAGTTTTGTTTTGTCAAAAAAAAAAAAAAAAAAAAAAAAATCTGGGGGAGGGGCTAGCCTGCTTGCTGCTTTCAAATCATGTATTTAATAATAGCAATATTAAACAACGTACAATTTTCAGATTTTATGTTATAGTACTGATAGAATAAGCTAAGTGTTCATACAGTTAACTTTAAATTAAATTTTCTTAAAGTTAAGAAATATGTTGAAAAATATAAAATTTAAAACAAAATATTGAGAGTTTAAGAAATAATTGAAATGCCAAAAATATATTCTACAGCTGACGAATGATTAAAAGATTTTGGCTGCTCTTTACATATTATTTCTTTTCTGTTTAATAATTTTACACTATTTCTTACATAATTTATATATTCTTACACTAGATAATTTCTTCGTATATTGATTTGAAGATTGAGTCATATTTTGCATTCCTTGTATCTCAGTTTACTTATAATTTTCTTTCATAATTTGTTAAATGCAAAATATTTTTCAAACACAGTTACCAGGCAATAGTACATTTTGATTGCATGCACTGTTACCAATATCTAATTTGAATGAAAGCTTAATATTACTTAAAAAACAAGTTTTAACTGAGTAAAAATTAATTTAAATTTTCATGGCCAAATTTCAAAAAGAGTTTGTATTTTATCATTCTAAGTTATTTTTTTATAACATTGTACAAAATAAATTAACCTTCTGTTATTGTACAATTAAATAATTTACATGATTTTCATGAAGTGACTTTTATAACATATTTCAGAATGTTTGATGTTGGAGGACAAAGATCTGAACGACGCAAATGGATTCAGTGTTTTGATGATGTTGGTGCCTTATTATTTGTTGTTGCATTGAGTGGATATGACATGGTGCTGCAAGAAGACACATCTGTTGTATGCTTTCTTTTTCTTTTATGTATTTTTAAATATATATTTTCAGATCCAAATCATTCTTAAATTTGTATCAATTAATTTAACCATCATACATATTTTTCTCTTTTAAATATAGAATCGACTGCAAGAAAGTTTGCAGTTGTTTTCATCTATATGCAATAACCGCTTCTTCATTAATACATCCATGGTAAGATCTAGCTGCATTTAAATTTGCTTAGTTTTATTTCATTTCAGTGTTATTAATTTATCTTACAATTTATGGTTTTATAGTTTTTATTATATTTTACTACATATGATTTATTTTGTGTTTGTTACATAAAATTGGTTTTATTCATATCATTTTATAATTTTTCTCTTATTTATTTATTTATTGGAAGTATTGCATGATATATATTTTTATTTGCATTAATTTGTATTTTTCAGATTTTATTTTTGAATAAATTAGATTTATTTCGAGAAAAAATACTATATTCTGGAAGACATCTTCGTTATTACATGGTTGATTATGATGGTATGTAAACGTTAAGTATGTTTGTCATGTAAATCTTCACAAATATACATTTATGGAGCAAAACTTATTTCAGAGTTTCTTGTACATATTTGTAATGGGTTATTTATATAATTATTTAACTTTTCATATTAACATCAAAAAGTAGTGCCATATTTTAATTACATATTAGTAGTTATGTAACTATAATAAATTGAAATAAACTGTGCTGACAGTTTTGAGAAAATTTAAAAGCATTAAATATCAAAATTTGGCTACTTCTGGAAATTTTATTTTAATAGAGCCACCATAGTAGATAGAAATGAAAGTATGCAAAATTCTCTTCTCCATGTGTACTATATTACGCCATTCCAATATTGGTCTTCAAGCACGTTACAACAGAAATTATGGAATTTGTTTCATTTTTGTGGATTTATTTACTAACATATACTGTACCTAACACAGAGGTTTTTCCTTCCATTAGCCTCCTCATACAACAGATCAAGAATGAATGCTGCAGAGTGCAGCTATGTATATACAGTGTCTCAGAAAAACTGGAAATTTTGAAATGGAGGTGTACAGAAGGGGGAGTATATAATTGAAAGAGACTTAATCATGGCAATGAAATAGAGCACAGAATTCTACTATATGTATGCATGTTGAGAGAATGAAATGGGTAATAATGAAATAGAGCACAGAATTCTACTATATGTATGCATGTAGAAAGAATGAAATGGGTAATTTGTCTTTAAGATGGCCATAATTCTGCAGTCTTCGAGGGGCATTATTTCTGTGTTTTATTTATAGCAGATTAATTGTCACAGTACTATACATAACTCCATTCCAGTTCTGCCTCACCATAGGCCAGATGATAAAGACTGTTGAATGCTGGTAGTTCAATCCGAGTTTGAACCTAGGCAAACGGGCTCTGTCATAGTTAGTTTTGTAGTTTTCCTCTGGCAGTTCCCTTCCTCCACGAAGGCAGACAGATCTCTTATTCTATGTCTTATTCAAATAATTTAGTCATGTAAATTCTACAGCACTTATTTGATTATCGTATAAGTATTGCAGTTAGTGATATGCCCTGGCCCAGAAGATTCCCTGACTTGACCATATGTGATATTTTCTTCCATAGTCAGCTAGCTACAAATGAAAAAATAAATAACCTATGAAGAAATTGCCTAGCATGCTGTGGATATATCATATCAAGATTTGTTAGTTGTCCTTCAATAAAATTTTTATTGAGAAATAGTGATTATCAACTGGACATTTATCTTCCACACATAAATCTGCCTGTTTCTTCTATGAAATAAATATACTCTATCAATGCCAAGATTAAGCTTTTCAGTTATTTACTATCTTTCATGCGTTTCAGTTTAAAATTTACTATCTTTTTGAAATGCTGTGTATAAATTAGTGTTAATTTTTAGCTAATGTAAAAATGTATTGACATATTTCAAGGCAAACAGTGAATGTTACAAATTATATAAGCATATAATAAATTCAATGATTTTGCAGCCTAATCTTGGAATTGTTTGTTAATATACCTGTAAATTACTTGTAATAAATTTGTTACAACAAATAAAAATACTGACTTTGTAATCTCTGTATCAGTTATCAAACCTGTGTAAGATCAGAATATCGATCATTAAATATTATTCTGATCGTACATAGGTTTAATAACTGAATGAACAACCTAGTGTCAGTAAAATATTGATCATTTAATCCCTAAGTTATTCTTTCTTCAGGTAATGTTATTGCACTAAAGGCAATTTCTGTGAAACAAGAAAAAGAATTACCTTTGAACATGTGAATCTTCACCTTTCACATATGCCATTTTATCTGTCTGACGTATCATATCTTCAAGATTCTGAAAGAACGTTTGATGAAATAAAATGCTCTAGATAATTAGGAATGTATGATTGAAAGTTGATAAGTATTATTGAGAATAAATACAGCGTACAAAAACATTGGGAAGATAAATATTGGAAACATTTAAAAAAAAAAAAAAAAAACACTTAAAGCTCCTCCCCCAGCCTCCACAGATTATTTTTTAGTCATAAAATGAACCCAACTTCTTACTTTGCGATGTGTAAAATGTGCTTAGAATGGTAATGTGCTTCTAACTCGGAGGTGTGTAAAATGTGCTTGAAACTAATGATTATCTATATTCAGTTGATTAATTTACACTTTTAAAACAATATTAACATCATATTTTATTCTAGGTCCAGATTATGATGTAGATAGTGGAGCATTGTTTGCCCAACATAAGTTCCAAGCACAAAACAAGCATTCTGGAAAAGTTATCTATCCCCATTTTACAACTGCAACAGACACTAGCAATGTTCAAGTTGTTTTCCAGGTTGTTATGGATACCATTGTGAGAGAAAATTTAAAGACAGCTACATTGCTGTAAAGTGAAAATGTACATTTTACTGAAGTGCCATGTCCAAAATGTATATAGAATACCATAATCATTTTTATACATATTTATATATACAATGAATGTATATTTTTCCCTTTTTAGAGTTTAGAAGTTGTGTTGTTTAATATTTTGTTTTCTATACACTTTTATCATATGTACAATTAAAAAAAATAAGTAAATGTTCTATTTTAATACTGCTTTTTCTTTATTGTAATCACAAAGCATTTATGATTTAGAATCATTATACTATATTCACATACAAATATGCCAAATATAATTATTGTATGCATGCCAAAGTTCCTTCCATTTTGGAGATACAAACTGTGATAGGATGACTGCATAATACACTCAAAAGTCTTTAATCCGGACTCGTTGGGACTTCGGCGATTCCGGATTATAGATCATCAGTTTAAATCTGGTAAGATGGCATGGTGAAATTATAAAATTAAAAATATTAAACCGTAATTTATGAAATAAAGCGCAATTATGATCTAAAGGGTATCGAAATTTACAAAAAAAAAAGGCTTAATATCTATTTGTTTACTTTATTAAACATTTCTTTCAACGCGCGCATGCATAAAGCATACATTACGCATAGTTGAAATTAGAAAATTGCAACCAGAAAACTATTTGATGTGTATTCGTGATATTTATAATGATGAGGAATTTCATTTAAATCATATCAAAGACAGAGTACATCAAGATGAAATACTACATTTAGTAAGGAATTATAAGCCGAATAAAATAAAAACATCTGCCTGAAGATAAGAATAGTGCTGACAGATCAACTTCCATTTCATTGCATGCCGTGACCTTCCTCCCCCCCAGAGCAGCGTGAAATTGATAAACATATTTCGGAATGGTTAGAGAATCAAAGGATATATGCCTTTATCCATTTTTTGTAGCAATTCCACTTTTTGTTTGATGGACATTTTGTTTGATCGAAACATGCTACGCTTTGTAGATCCTTTGGTAGCTCCAGAATCGGAAATTCTTTTTGACATAATCGAAAGTTTAAGCTTACTTTTATAAAATTGCTCTAACAGTTTGTAAAAAATAATAAGCCGGATTCAATTAGAAGATTAAGGAACAACGCAATCTGAAACATTAACTGAAATAGATAATTTCAGCTTAGCTTGTACCGTCCGTTATACATTAAACGCGCATGTGTAAACGTATTATGCCCATGCGTAGACGCAACATCCGGATAAAAGACTGTATTGAATGGCTGGAGTCTTTTACCAGTAAATAGAAAGCAATGTAATGTATAAATTCAAGTTTCTGAGAGTAACTTGAATGTTTATAGGCTTAAAATGGCAAGCAATTAGGAGTAGATCAGACATCATTTACTGTAGAAATTTGTAAGGGCACGGCTGCCATTTGTCAACTGAATGGAATGAATGGATGCTGTTCACAGTACTGCATCTTGTCCCTGCTTTTAGGATTTCAGGTGTGCATACATAGATGTACTGATTAGTTATACACTGATCATTAAAATTAAAAGATAGTGAGAAAAAATATGCTCACTAAGTTAATGTTGCAAGCAATGCCCAATGCTATAATTATTTATGTTAATTAAATACAAATGAACACAAAATTGCACTTTCACACATACTTAAGCACCAGAAATATGCAAATTTGGTGTTTGTGCACAATCGATGCATGTTCGAATTCCAATCTATAATGTTTAAAGTGAAAGGTGTTTCTAAGAGTGATCAGTATACAGTAGTTATGGCAAAAAGGCATCATTTAAGTGAAGTTCAAAAGTGGCAAATAATTGGTAGAATCAGGGGATGTCAAATACAAATGGAGGTCGCCCAAGATTTGAATATCCCTCAAAGTGTCATATCAAGAGTTTGGAGCTGCTGTTTAAGCATTGGGTCAGTTGATAGACAGCCTGGTCAAGGGTCACCAACAGCAATAACTTCATCAGATGAGTGTTTTCTGTTACTGTTGGCTCGAAGAAACCGCAAAGCAACTATGAAATATTTAGTTTCAGACCTTCAGGCTGTTACAGGAACTCGAATTAGCCATTCTACTGTTGCACGAAGGCATAACGAGCTTGGAATGTATGCGAGAAAACTAATGCTTTGTGTTCCACTCATTCCAATTTCCAAAAGGGCTCATTTAAACTGATGCTGTCACCATGTTCACTGAAGGAAAGTCCAGATATGGTTTGAACAGTGATTCTAGACGTGTTTTGATTGAAGAGAGGAAGGAACATGCTACTTGCCTTCCTTTATCTGTGAAATGTCCCGTTTCCACAACTGGGGTTTAATGGTTTAGGAAGAATCCTGACAGATGGCCTCACCAAGTTGCATATCTTTCTAGGAAATTCTGTAACCATTTGGAGATATGTGGACCCAAATAAGACTGTTTAAGGGTGCTGTTGGACCACAGCTTTTACTAATGGATGACAATGCTCGGCGTCATCGAGCATATTTGGTATCAGAATACTTATAAACAGAAGATATTACTCGAATGGACTGGTCACCTTACTCACCTGATTGAACATGTGTGGGATGCCTTAGGGTGCTAAATTCCTCCCCAGACCCTCCAAGTGCACTACAAGTAAATCCTAGTGAAACGTGCACTAGAAGAATGAAATCAAGGTGCGAGATATGCATATCTGTCTGATATGACCATATACCACATTAAAGAAAAATGTTTTCCACAAGAGGCGACTTATTTTTCCTGTCATTTTCCCAAAATTTGGTTTTTATTTCAATATTTTTGCAAATAATCAACGGTCAAACATTGTAATTTATGTTAATTAATGGTTTTGTACAAATTTCTAGTAATAATTTTTAAGTATCAGTTATTTTTGTTATTATCTTTTAATTTTGATAACTAGTATACTTTGGATGCCCATATGTTTCTAATGAAAGCCTGGACAAAATCATAAAAAATTAACTGCCATTTACAAATTTACAGTACACAGAACAACAGTCAAAAAATGGATGCAGACACCTAATGTACCACCACATTCAATCAGTGGATGCCATGTCAGCTTTCTGTGGTAAGAAGGTATCAATAGCCAGCCTTCTTTGCTTTCTTTTGCTGAAGTAAATTAATTTTGGGTTGAATTGTGACAAAAGATGAGGATAACCTTTAGTACTACCACCACCACACTTGAACAAAGCTCAGATAGCATAAATTTACATGTGTTAGAGAAAAAAAGTCAATCAGGATGTTGAAGTTTTAATTTTTTGAATTTAATAGTTTAAAATGGTTTGCTTCTTTTCATACCACCGGTTGAGAATCCCTGATCTACAGGAATGTAACCAAATGATAAATGCAGACCTAACAATAAACATCTAAATGTACAGACAATGCATTTCATCATGATTATGTCAATCATGGTGCTTTAATCATTTAGCAAAAATTTCTCAACTTTGGTTGGTAAGGTTTTACCCTTTCCAGAGTATTCTCTTAATCTTGCCCCAACAGACTATCATCTCATTTGATTATTACAGAACACCTACACTTTCAAATCTTTTAATGTTGTTTTCACATAATCTGCATAAGTGAAGTTTTGATATGACAAATGCTATGATAAGCTGTGAATGCAATATTACCTATGCAAACTTCTACAGTAAACAATGTCTGATGCACTCCTTATCAATTGCCATTTTAAGCCCTTAAACATGTGATAGGTAAATGTCTGCTGTCATAAATCTTCATTCCCCATGTGAATTTTAAGCAGTATGAATTGCTACACAAATGGAAAACTTACTGATGTAGCTTTATCAATCAAATTGTGTCTTCAATGATGTAGTTACTTAAAGCAGGTAACAAAGCCTGGTTCCCAAGCATCTACCTTGAGCAACTGCTTCATTTCCACCTGCAGCCCCATCGATAAAATGCATGTCAGTGAGCTGTGCATTCATGCATGAAATGCAAACCTCTCAAAATTAGCATAGGAAAAAGAATTTTTACCAGCAGAACATGTTTATCTGTCACTCAACAGCTATACGCAAAAGATGTTTCAAATGGTCAGACACATGGAATTCGATGCATTCATCAGAAATGGCCCCCAGTTATTTAGCCGTCTTATCACCAAGCGCATTGCTCAAGGTGTACTACATGGAATAACTGATTTGACATCTCAGAGAATGAAGAACACCCCTGCAGATGGATTTAGTAGTGGTCTTCCACTACTACCAAACCACTTTCAGATAGTCAAATATTTTAGGTGCCCCATGTTGCACCAGACACCATACACTTACAAACATTCAAGCTTTCTCCAGAAATCCAGTGTTGGCTTAATGATACAGCAGCCAGAAGCACTATTTATGTACATATATATGTAAATTTATTCTTCATAAAACAAAACTGTATTTATAACATTTAGGCCGCTATTCTAAGTCAACTCTAATAATTATTTTCTTATCACAAAACATTATTCTGAAAGCTTTTTTTTTTTTTTTTTCCATGAAAAAGAGATCTACAATAATAAAAGATTACAATGTTACTGATATTTTAAATTTAGTTAACAATTTATAGTAATATTTTTAAAAGAGTAAGCAGAAATATCGGGAAAAATGCCAAGTTCCTAATGCATGCATTATTCCATTTTCTTTAATCCCAGTTTAAATAAATCTGTACATTATTGGAAAAAATATATTTTTTCTTTTTATAGTTACATTTTTCAATCTGAATACATTTAAAAAATAATTTAATTCTAAAACCAATTTTTGCAAAGGAAGGGACATTTTTTTTTTTTTTATTTTGCATGAAAATTTATATACAGAATAATAAGAAAAGAATTACATTTACAATAATGTCAAAATGAAAGGAATTAGTAATCCATGTCAATAGCATTCTTTGGGAATAAATATTTTCAACTAAGATGTTATCTTCCTCCTCCATCAGGCATACCAATATTTGACATAGTCCTTTCAAGGTATGCCAATGGACCTTGCAGTCCACCTGGTTGAGCAGTTCCCATGTGCTGCTGAGGATGCATCTGTGCTGACTGCAAAACCATATTACCTTGCATTGGTGCTGGTGATGATGTCATTGGTGGTCCACAGTGTGACTGCATCATGTGATGAGGATGACTTTGGCCACCTTGCTGTACAACTTGAGATGGTATTTGAGGAGGAGGTCCTTGCAGTGCTGGGATATTTTGAGGTGGTTGGGGCTGCACAGCAGTCGGAGGTGGTCGTGGTGTACCAGGTACATCTTGCAAAAGATTTTGCCATGTCTGGATTTTTTCATTATATTTTTCAATTAAATCTTGTTTCCTCCTCTGCTCACTTTTAAGTTCATTTGTGCTCTAATTAAAAAATGCAAAATGTATAATTATTATTTAAAAAGTTCATTATATGTTGATATATTGTTCTAAAATGAAAGGAAATACAACAAATTTATGTCATTATCAAGAGACCAAATTTAATTAATCAGGTATTCTGGTATTTTCAACAAATGATAATGGGAGGGAGAGACTAAAACACTTGAATCCAACATTCTTCGTGCTTAATCATCAGTGGACAAGGCACAAATGGTGTTATGAAATACACTCATCAATTAAAATTTACTACTAAAGCTTGAATTATGAACCAAGGACTTCACAAAAGTTTTTAACTATTAAACTGCAGTGGTAATGGATTTTTTATGAGATTTTGCCATATTTAATGATTCCAATTAAACAGTGTCCAGACAGAATGATACCAATTGAACAATTCATTATTTCCAGTTGTTCTTTAATTTTTAACCCATTACAACCACTTGTAGGTTTGACAATGACCAACAGCTTCACTCCCAAGTGTCTGTTTGAAAATTCACTGGGTCTCTGCTGCAGTCTTCCTGAATCTGAAATAAAATTTTATGAAAGTTCTCTGATTTTTCAAGCCGGTTGTAACAACTTTAAATAATATTAAAATCTTGTAGTTTAAATAATTTAAATAGAGGAACATTAAGATATTTGTGAATGGCAATGTTTGAAACCAGACTCGAGTGCCACGTGCGACTCTCGCATGAAGAATGTGATTTATTTTTAAATGTTAGTATTCTTTTTTCTTCTTGTTTGTATGTCGCCTTTTTTGAGTGTTAAATAAAAGTTATTGCTGTGTTTCATCATTGGAGTTGCTTCATTTCGCCAAAGAAGCATCACAGTCTTAATTATTTTGGAGGCACTGACCGAGATCGAATAATCGTGCGTATTTTTATTTTATTAGTTCATCACTGAACATAATATTAGTGATACCAGATTATTACTTAATGTTTATATAGAATTGCTTTATGTTATTAGTTCATCACTGAATGCAATATTAGTGATACCAGATTATTACTTCCTGTTAATATTGAAATTGTCTTATTTTATTACCGTATTTGATATTATATTTTAATATTCATTTTAGTTGTCCAGACGGTAGATATAATATATTGCTCTATGTTATTATTCATTATTTTAATCACAATTAATGTGGTACAGAGAAATGAACTTCATATAATTTAAATATTTCATTTTTTGAGGTATACATACTTTAACAGAAGTGCATTTAATTTCGTGATTCCTGACTGCATTAATTAACTAAAGTAATTGAATTGAGCTATTTTGAGGAAATATAAAGAACACAGTGTTCGTTAATTTTAAACATAAAAAAATGTCCTACTTGGGAAGAGCTCGTAAGGAAGATTTGCAAAATCTCACGGCTGAACTGGGAGTTCATGTGACTGCAGATATGAAAATAGTCGATTTAAAACAGAAAATTGTTGAAAGTAGTGATTATGATGAAGTATTCGTCAAAGGAGTCTTAGACACAATAATAGAAGAACGGAAAGAGAGGGAGAAAAGAGAAAAAGAGAGAGAGGAAAGAGAAGAACGGAAAGAGAAAGAGGAAAGGGAAAGAGAGGGAGGAAAGAGAAGAACGTAGGAGACAGGAAGAAGCAGAAGAGCAAGAAGGGGAACGAACAGTATGAATTAGAGAGATTAAGACTTGAAGCAGAGACAAAGTCTCAAAATACCGGACAGATCCGGCCGAAAACGGAGCTGCGTCACCTTATGCAGAAATTCGATGACAAGAAAGGAGATATCAGTCTATATTTGCTATTGTTTGAAAGGCAAGCAGAATGGGCTAAAATTGATAAAGAAGAATTTACATCTCATTTACTAGGACTACTTCCTTACGAAGTAACCCAGTTAATAGCTAGAGAACCCTCCGATAAAGCTAAAGACTATGAACACATGAAAAATTTATTGTTAAGACGGTTTAAACTAAGCCCGGAAAAGTTTAGGCAGAAATTTATGAAAACATCAAAAGAGTACCGAATCCACATGGGTGGATTTCAATTATGAAATAGAAAATTATTGCCAAAGAATGGGTGACTGGTCTAGGAGTTAAGACTTTTGATCAGTTGCTAGATTTGATGGTGCTTGACCAACTTAAACGTCGAGTTCCTCCTGAAATTCGAGATCACTTTTCTTGATGAATGGGTAGAGATGATTTCATCTAAAAAATTAGCTGAAAAACTTGATGCCTATGAAAACGTTTGCAGGAAACTTTCAAAAAACGTCCTGTAGTAGGATCGGCAGAAAGAAAGATACAATGCACTAACTCAAGGTAAATTGAGTTCAGATAATAAAAATAAAACTGAAAAAAAAATTGTCATCAGGATTTAATTCGCAAAGCTGGTTTCATAGACCTAGAAGTCCACGTCCAGATGATAAATATGAAAAACGATAAATGCCACAATGCTATCAGTGTGGGTCCTATCACCATTTAAAACCCCAATGTCCAAATCTTAAGAATAGTACTGAATCTCCTGCTAATCTTAACAGAATTAGTGCAAAACCAGAGGATAAATTTCTATTACCTTATACTAGTATGGGTTACGTAAATGGTCATAAAATTCCTATATTAAGGGATTCAGGTGCTAGTACTGATATAGTTTGTCGCAAATACATCACGCCGGAAATGCTGACAGGTGAAAATGTGTGGGTGCAACAGCCATTAGATTTGAATCCAACCTGTTTACCATTGGCTGAGATCGAACTAAATTGCAATCTTGGGCGAGTAATAACTAAGGCTTCCATTATTAGAAATGAACTCGACAAAGGAAGGTATTTATTAGGCAGTCGAACTTTTGCACTGTTGAATAAACAAGGAAAGGAACCTCATAGTCATCCTCACCAGGTTAATGCCGTCTCTACTAGAGTTCAAAGGAAAAGAAAAATAGCTGAAGAGAAGATCTTGGAACCGATGAAAGAAGAAAATAAAGCATCCAGAGATATCTTTGAAGAAGTTAAATCACCGGAATTAAACGTGGAAGATTTTCACGAAAATTTGAAAAACGATAAAGAAATTAATATTGAGAATCATTTTGCAATGCAGCGTTATCATCATCTTTCGGCTTTTGATTTAACATCAAAGCCGCTACTAATAGACGAAGAAAACAATTGTCGAAAGCAAATGACAAATGAATATTATCTGAAAGGCACAGGTGAACTGAGGAAAGGCTTTGCTGTGAATTATAGCCGAGGAACTGGTCCACCATGGAAGAGATCTAGGCGCCGTCAAGAAAAAAAAAGAAGACTAATTTGAACACTGGTCCATTTTCTTCCTATTTAAATGTGGTGTAAAAATACTTGTTTAAAACTTAAAATTTTCGGCCTGAAAATTTGGAAACTTATGAGAGAAGTTACCTTTTCTCTTTAAGCAATTAAGCAAGCCGAGTTTATAGACTTTCGAATTTTACAGAACTTTTCCCTTCGGCAAAAGTCTCTCCGTTGGGGGAGATGTTGTAACAACTTTAAATAATATTAAAATCTTGTAGTTTAAATAATTTAAATAGATGAACATTAAGGTATTTGTGAACGGCAATATTTGAAACCAGACTCGAGTGCCACGTGCAACTCTCGCATGAAGAATGTGATTTATTTTTAAATGTTAGTATTCTTTTTTCTTCTTGTTTGTATGTCGCCTTTTTTGAGTGTTAAATAAAAGTTATTGCTGTGTTCCATCATTGGAGTTGCTTCATTTCGCCAAAGAAGCATCACACAGTCATAGCATCAATCAGGAGAAACTTGAATACAACTTCACAGAAATACACAGTATAAAAGAACATAACTTTCCATAGCAATAACAGCTTGTAGAAAAGTTACTCAGTAGTGCTGGAGATAACATCTAGTAACATACCATGGCAGTATTTCCAGCTCTCTCGATTTCTGACCATACTCCCGCCAACCCAATTTTTAACATATTTCTCCTGACTTTCTTATATTCTTAAAATTTTTCATGATTTTCTATGTAGCTTGGCTTAATACTTGATTATTTGCCTCCCAAAAAGTGATTTTTATCGTCTAAAGTTTCCTCCAGATGCATATAAAAGAAACCGAAAGTGTTTCATTTACTGAGATATGGTGCATTTCTGCTTTTTGTAGAGTCCGAAAACATAGTGTTCCAGTTTTCCAATAAGAATCAAGCACCACTGCTTGTCATCTGGCATATATTAACTGATAAGCTCAAAGCACGATCGAGGTTGTTTATCTCGCCTGTGAGCAGCATATGTTTCATGTGATTCCCACAAACAGTTTAAGAAACTGCAATCTTAGTTACGTCTACAAAAAATGTAAAATACTCGCATACTTTTCAAAAATTGTACATAGATGACTTCAAAAAAAATTAATCAAGGAAATGTAATACTGGAATGTGTTGCAATTTCACACGGTGTTAGGGCTAATGTTCTTAAATATGTGAGAACACATGGACAATATGAGCTGTATTGAAAAAAAAAATTAAATTTTTCTGTGGAAACAAAGAACCAAAATGTTATTAACGCAGAATGCCTGTTTTCTGTCTTTTTACTGGAGTACAAATTGCTATTGAAAGCATCAGATCATGCTGCAGCCTTTTTAGAGAAATGTTTCCTGCCAGTAAAATTGCTAATAAATACTTAAATGCATGGACAGAAACAGCTGCAGTTGTAGAAGAAATAGGTTCAAGAAGTTGGTATGAAAAATAAATCTTCAGTTATTGATTGCATTAAAACATCTACATTCTGCCTCTCTACGGATGAAAAAAATAATACTGATGCAAAAGTGTATTCAATTGTTGTTTCTTATTTTTTAATTCACACTCTTCAGAAATCGAGTTAGTTTATGTCCCCACTTAGAAGAGATTCAACGTGCTTTAATAATAGCACAGCTAATTATTAAACTTTAAACGAAAATGCTATTCTTCAGGATAATTGCTTAGCACTTAATGCTGTATCAGGAAATTTAGGCTTGAAGACTGATGTTGCAGGCATCTTAAAAAAAGTTCATATTTGCAAATTATGAAATGCACCCATCACTTCTTAAATTTAGCAAAGGGTTAGTACTTCTTTGCCAGTAAATGTGGTTGAATACATTGTTGATGTTTATTATCTTGGAAAGATTGCTAAAAGAAGGAAAAAGTGAAACAATTCCAACAGCTGCATAATACTGAAATTAAGAAAATTTGAATTATTTATGTATTTATCTTTAAAGAAATGTTTAGCTAGAATTATCGACTACTCCTTACATTTCTTAAAGAAGTAAATGCTTCTAGAGTTCTAGAGAATGCTTCCATTGTTAAAAACAGGTATGAGAAAAATTAATTTCTGCACCTGTGATTAATTTAATTGGCAATTCACAAAATAATACCATAAAATATAAGTGTGAAGCTCTCCCCCCCCCAAAAAAAATTGAGAAGGGGCATATTTTCCAATTCTTGAAAGTTCTCAAGAACGAATATTTATGTTTTTTGTCTTTGGACCTAATAAAGCCTTTTCCTTTTTTTGTATGCTATTTTGCCATCATTCAATGCTTTTAATGCAATTCTATAGTGCATAATTACATTAATTCATGTTTCGCAATCAATGATTAGAGAAACTGATTAGAGTATTTTTCTATTATTAGAAGGTACAAGTAGTAAAACTTTTTTTTTTTTTTTTTTTTAAACATGTAAGTGTTTTTGCATTATTTGCATTTAAGAAGTAATAACTGAACTTTCAGATATTAAGTAGTTACTATTTAAAGTTAATTCACTATTAGAAATATATTTTTCTACATGTTTTTATTATTAAAAAAAAAAAAAAAATTCTTTTGTCACAGAAAATTCTTCTTCCTTTTTTTTTTTTTTTTTTTTAATTTTTTAATCTGCTTTTTTTAGTGTTATAAGTTGGCAAGTATGCCATGTGTTTGATAAGGTGGATCAATATCTTTCCAAGAACTTTAGTTTTTCAATTTGAATTTCATGTTTTTGAGTCATTGACAGAATATTGTAAAAACAGTTAATTCATTATAAAGAATTCTACTCAATAATGAAGGGAAAAAATAAAAATCTTATATGGTTATATGAGTAACAACAAAAGAATCATTCTAAAACTTTTCAGTCAGCCAATGTAGATATACTGACATGCAAATAACAAGCAACAAGCCCAATGTTTTCAATACATTTCACATTTGTTTAATAAATATATTATAAATGAAAAGTAAATGCACTATTATCAGATATAGTAAGTTTCACTGTGGGGCTAATAAATATTAAATTCCATATCTGCCCTTGTCCCTGCCCCCCCCTTTTTGAGTGGCATAGTCCTTGAAATAGCACGTGGATCAGAAATTCTGAAAAATTGGAGATTCCTGTAGTACAGTCAAAAGTTGTTAATTCGGACACCCATAATCCGGACCTCAAAGCTAAAAACTTTCTGCGCATGCGCTGCGTTGACACATGCGCATAGGTGTTTACGCGTGCGCGTAAGACCTTTTACGACTGCGCATATGCTTGTGCGCAAGCGCAGAACACGTTTTCGCGTGCACGTTTTATGTATAACGGACGGTATAAGCTAAAATTATCTATTTCAGTTAATGTTGATGATTGCGTTGTTCCTTAATCTTCGAATTGTATCCGGTTTATTATTTTTTGCAGACTGTAAGAGCAATATTATAAAAGTAAACTTGAACTTTCGATTATGTCGAAATAGAATTTCCGATGCTGGAAGCTTCCAAAGGATCTACAAAACGAAAGTATGTTTCGATGTCCATCAAACAAAAAGTGGAATTGCTGCAAAATGGATAAAAACATGAAGAATGTAACAGAGAGGTTAGTGAAAACGAAAAAATTTCGATTGACAAGTTAGTCGATATTCTCGGCACAGCAATTAATGGGACTCGAACAGCGGAACTTTGTAACTGAACAAGAAATTATGTCTGTTTATAGAATTAAAGAGAAAGTATTATCACATAAAACGAAGCAACTTAAACAACTTACATTGAAAGAAATGTTTAATAAAGTAAACAAATAAATATTAAGCTTTTTTTTTTTGTAAATTTTGATACCCTTTAGATCATAATTGTTCTTTATTTCATAAATTACGGTTTCATGTTTTTAATTTTAGAATTTCTGCATGCCATCTTACGAGATTTAAACTGATGATCTATAATCCAGAAAAATCGATAATATGGAATCGCCGAAGTCCCGACGAGTCCGGATTAACGACTTTTGACTGTACAACATTTGAATAAGGCATTAGAAAAGTGTTCTTCCATGTGCGTCATTTCCCTTTTGTCTGCACACTTTAGGGTTCTGTTTGATGATCATGAGCGTAATTCTGTTTTAGTTAAGACCAATTTCATTCGAGTAAATTTTCATTACGATACATTTTATTAAATAAAATAAAAAATGTTACCTCGAGTATTATATGCTCTGGTTTCTGCACTGAAAGGAGCAGTCTTTTTTGGAGGAAAAAACATTCCATTTGTTTGGCAACATCAAGAAATCTTTGTATAGTTTGTTCCACGCCTGTGAGAAATTATTAATATACAAAATCAGGTATACAATTCAATTAAAAATTCTAAAATAATGCTTTATCAAGATTACAACTTCAGTAAGATAAATTTAAATGTGGATAAGCATGAAATAAAAAGTCAGCAAAACTTTAAAGCAATCATTAAAAATCTTCCATGACACTCAACAAGGAGAATTAATATCCCCCAATGCACCAAAAGACTGCAAATTTGTCCTTAGGATACAAATAAAATACAGAGCAAAAAAATATAGCTAAAACGCAAAAACAGAACTAGAATGTGATATTTATAACAAAATTTTAAATACTATGAAGAGTGTCTCATGATCTTGGTTTTCCAACAATGTTTAAACAAAGAACCCTCTGTTAAGAAGCAGCCCTGTTAAGCAGGACAAAGAAGGAAATGTTCACCATCCATAAAGCCAGAATTATAATGGGGACACTTAAGACTAATGAAGATCCCAATGCTGTTAAAATGAACAGCGAAACAGTCATGTCCAATTGCCACTTGCAAATGTAGCTACAACACTGTCTCAAGGACAATCAAGTAAATGATCAAAATTTTTATTCCAGGTTTTGTTTTTAATATGATTTTGGAGATGACAAATACAAGAACTTTTAACCCTGTTTATAAGAACTTTTGATTTTGTTATTTCTGATCTTACAAATCATTTTAAATGAAATTTTACTCTTAAATTTTACGGATGAAGCTGATTGGTATGGCTGTATGACAGCAGCTGAAACAGCTTGAGAAACCTGTCATATTTTAGAATAAAAATTGATTTCCGAATGATTTCAACTTCACTATCGAAGACTGTACTTTGAATATCAAGAGATATATAATGGAATAACAGAGAGCTGAAAATACCAACACTAACTTTCCCCTCTTGACCGAGCTTTGAGCCATCCATGTAAATATAAAGCCATTCATTGCAGACTTAAGTCCAGTTTCAGAATAGGCTAACAGAGATTTAGTCACAAAGCAATACCCTGGATTTTGGTTAAGATCACAGAGTTCTAAGATTGAAGAAAAGTCAAAATTTAGTACATCATTTTATCTCTCATAACAAACTAAATGAAACCTTGTGGAGTTTTAAACCTTCATAGGTGGCAATTTATCATAAGGAATATGATAATTATGCCAAAAAGTTTCAAGCTGGAAATCTGGACCTCATAAAAAGCCACATACACCGGCATAACGTGGAAAAACATCTCCTGGGGTTGATTTTGTGGCACATATAACAAGGCAAAGAACTTTTCTGCAAACATTCCAGCTTGTTTTTCAAATTCCCACAGGTAGTTATTAATAAAACACAGCTATATTTCATAGCAAGTTTCAGAAGTATTTTATAGTTTGTAAGTAAGGTGGAAGTCACACATTTCCAAAGGACTCCTGCTAGTTGCTTAATTATGTTCAAACAGTTATTTAATTTGAATTCTTCCTGGAATTCCAAACTTTCAACCTAATATGATCCCTAAATATTTAAAAGCTTGGCAGTGAAGCGCAAACACTTTAGAAAAAGAACGAACTTTCGTTGTTCTTTATTGATATTTGTATAAACTTTCAACTACTATCCCCCTTCAAAATGCTCCCCTCTAGTGTCAACACACCACTGCCATTGTTTTCTCCACTTTTGGAATACCTTCTGGAAATCATTATTTTCTGATAGCATATATAGTACTCTTGTCACACTTTCTTGAATTTTCTCTATGGAGTTGAAACGATATTCTTTCAATGTGGTTTTAAATTTGGGAAAGAGAAAAAAGTCTTCCGCGGACTAGTCCAGAGAATAGGGTAGGTAAGGCACAAGAGAATCATGATGTTTTGTCAGATAATCGGTAACACGGAGCAACGTGCGAGTTGGAACACTGTCATGATGCAGTTTCTACAACCGATCCCCCCCCACACACAATCAGATCTCTTCTGGCATCTTTAATCATGTTAAATTCTAAAGGCTTCCTTGTTTATTATCTGAATGATACAAATTCTTGGTGCATTCTGAACACGTTGGTGGTCTGTTGACATCAAAGATCATTCAGTCCTTGGGTCTTCAGCAGCCAAACTTTTGTCATCCTTAAAATGCTGAAACCAATCACAGCACTATATTTGTTTCCTGCAGTGACCTCTGAATACCTAGTTAGGCATGTGTAATTTCATGCAGAAGCATTGTTCCTCCAGCTTCTTCTTCCCCCCTTTTTTTTTACTAATCCGAAAAGTTGCTTATACACAATTTCACTGAGCTGATAATTACTGGGCAACTAATATACAATACTTAATACATCTGAACCCAGTAGAAAGCAGTAGTTTGCAAAATATGTTGTTAGATACACACAGTGGCCAAAGCATACCAACTTGCAGCTGTTGGCACACAGTTTAAAAAGACTGGTCTTTTTTTAAACGGTGCTCATATTATATAAAACCTTAAGATTGACAGACTTGTGACAAGACTAGAAAGTTGGATAAGCAGTTGGTTTAATTCTTTCAGATTGAGGAAACATCACTATTCCAAATTTTACTGCATATTCTTAGGAGTGCTTTCTTGCAAATGAGCTAATACAATGAATTCAACAAAAATGCCATCACTCGCAGAAGACATTTTTTAAAGGAATCTTTAATAGTTATACTTAGTTCAAATTGCTATAAAAGAGAGATGTTGGATTACTGTCTACATATCCTGCAATTTGCTTATTTAGTTTTCTATCATTATTCTTTATGTATCGTCTTTCTTTGATTTCTTGAATAAAAAGAAGTGAACGCTCCAGTAATATCCTAATCGGAATTCAGAAAAGGATTTTTTTTTTTATTTAGAAAAATTAATATAAATTAGTAAATGATTTCCTTTAATTTTCAGGTGTACATTTTTCTGACTGTAAAATTATATACAGTAATATGTCAAAAATCAGAATAATCTAATATCAAGACCACCAACCGGGGGAAAAAATCCCCCCTCCTGCAAAGTCTAGGAATGGAGAATATAAAAATAAAAGGAGGCAGAAGTGTCATAAATATTATTTTTATCCTGATTAACTGAGATTTCTGCATGTCAATTTTAAATACTTACTGACTAGGGAGTCCCACTATGGCCAATAACAGCGTATTGATTGATGTATTGGTATTAGCCAGGACATAATCTTCATGAAAAGAGATTCTTCATTTGTCATCCGCCTTTCTTGAAAGTCATGGCCAGGATCACATTTTCGTCCCTTGAGTGGCTGGGGTCCGCAGGACTTGCACTACACATTTTTCCACCTGGTGCAATTTCTGCAGTTCTAAATTCTGCTGTGTGATACCTCCCTAAATTCTTAACTGCACAGTACCTCTTCTAAATCCTAAAAATTCAACCATCCATAATTTTTGCTGCTTGGTGCTCATTCTAAATTCTCAGATTTTTGCCACCACTATATTCCGATACCTAGCTGCAGCTGCACCTGCTCTGGCTGTAAGAGGATGGAGATTCTATTTTCTATCTGACCTAAACAATAAGTCCTAATGAATGCTGTGACATCTTACTAAATTAATGATCTCACCGTTTATCTAATATCAAGTTATATAATACTGTGAAATGTAATAATTTAGATAAGACAGACATTAAATGGTAACAATGGTAGTAGTTGTTAACATTGATAGTAGATACATAAAAAAATAGTCACAATCATGGACAATTTTAATATTGTTACGAAAGGTACAGGCGCAGTAAGATGGTTCCCCCCCCCGCAAAGCAGTTTTAGGGTTGCCATAAAATAGCAAGGGAAGGCAGGGTTGCGACATTTGGCGACAAACTTGGCAATATACCATGGACAGTTGGAGAGCCTTCTGGAACGAATTCTTACCGGTTTAGCCCAGAATGTTTTCGAACACAAGCTGAAAGCTATATAAACCCTGCTGGTCTGCAATCGGTTAGTTTCTTGCCTATCGAGCTGATAGAGAGTGTGTCTCGTCAGAGTGCGAGTTAGTATCGAGTTGGCGCCGGGTCTAGCGAGCTGATAGTCAGTCATTGAGTAGAGAGTATGTCTTGTCTAGAGTGCGAGTCAGTGTGTCTCGAATTAGTCACTCCGTGTGGAGTCGATCAAGTTGACCTCAGGGCAGTAAGTGCTGAGTGGATCGTCGAGAGAGTGTGTTAAGCTCCGGGAACAACTGAACCAAAGAGTCGGGAGCTATACTCTGTGTGTCGCTGAGTGCATCACAAGTTGTAATGTAGAGTCTCGAGAGTATGTGGAGTTCCGGGAACGACCGAGCAGAGTCAGGAGCTGTACTCTGGTGCTTTGCAGTGAAGCTGTCTCCGCCGTTATTGCCTGACAGTGTGAAGGCTGTGTTGCTGATTGTTCCAGCGTGTTTATAGTAGATCTTCAATGACTGTAAAAGTGTTTTGGAGCTGTCCTGATTAATATTGGCAAATAAAGTGTGTTTCGATATTCCTAATTAAGCACTGTCATTATTCACTTCAAATCCACACGAACGTGAAGGAAGAAAATAACGTAACAACTGTGTCAGAGAAGAAAAATGCAACAATATTAATTTATTCTTGAAATATGCAGCCACATATAACTTGGCACAATAAGCATACCTATTTTTGAAGAACGTTTACATTTTTGGAGACACTAAAGTAAGCAGGTATGCAGTGACAGTGATCCAGTTAGAGAGAAGCAAAGAACAAATGTCAAATGCTCAGTAGAAATACCCTCCCCCCTCCCCCCCCAAAAAAATAAGGGACTAATCAAATTAAAGTTAGCACTTTCCTTTAGATACTTTTGCATCACGTACACACACACCATAAAAAGTAAATGTGCATTGAATTGCAATATTTTTAATCAGAAACATGCATATTTTTGATTGTATCTTGAATAACTGAATACTCACCAGTTTTAATTTCTTCTGAATCTCTTACATTGAAATGATCTGGATTTGTCAAAGCAGCCAAGCATGCCTAAGAACATGAAAAAGGTAAAACTAGTTCAACAGGATCTTTTGAATATTAACAATCATCCAATACAATAAAAGAAACTTTATGATATAAAACTAAGGATTTTATATATTATCATCAAAGCATATTTTATTATGCAAATAAAAAACTTAACAATCTTTTGGAAACATCTTTATGTGTCAATTAAAATCACAATAACAACCTCGTATTTAGCATACATATGTTAAAACACTCAATCGATTTTGAGGGCAGCTAAAGGTCCCTCTTCATCAGGAGAACGAAATTACTAGAAAGGGGCCAAAGAAGAAAAATAAAGCATTGGCAAAGGAGTCTCAGAAACACATGGTCGTTATCAGCACACATGTGGTCGTAACCGGATTTTGAATCAGATTTACACTGGCCGCCTACTTTTACTGAGCCAGCCTATCTGATCAAACATATAACACAAAGACTAAAACGCAAACAAATCAAGGAAGTCAAAAAATAGGGAGCGAGGGGCAACTGCACCTTCACACGCCAAGACTGAACCTCAAATTCTATCTTTATGTGTTTTATATCTCTGTATTTTATGCATATCATTTTCTTTGCAATTTATTTATGATAAAATAGTTCATTCATAATCAAGTGGATAAGACTATTCAACATTGGTACCATATCCCAAGTTCATTTTAATACACCTATATGAACTGCTTGTTTGATACGAGGGTTGGAACTTTAATAGTGGCAACTATTTATTTACAAGGAATACAAAAGTGATTCATGTCACCATGTTTTACAGTCCTTCAATATCACCAGCATTGTGTACAACCCATTTCCACGATGTGGAAGTCGCAGATACCTGTAGCAGCACCTGTTTTGTGATAGTTTGAATGGACCGGTCTACTGCCGCATAATCTCAGGAACAGTTTGGAAGCGAGTGCACAAAGTGGTTCCTTCATCTTAGGATTAAGTCATAGTCACAAGGGCTTTAGATCTGGGGAGATGGTGGATGGTAAGCACTTCCCAGCCTCATCGTTTGAACAAATCAGTCACAGCTTGCACTGCATGCAGCCGAGCATTGTCATGCAAAATGAGAGGAGCGTTCTGCAGAAAGTGTCACCATTTTTTTCTCAAAGCTGCTCGGAGATTGTGCTCCAAAAATGAGCAGTAATACTGTGCAGTGACGGTCTTTAGTGGGGGAACAGTATGCGTTAGGATGACACCATCACAGTCATCACCATAACTTTCACATTGCTGGGGTTCTGACGAAATTTCGAACATCGTGGTGACCCGTGATGACGACATTCGTTTGATTGGCGTTTCAGTTCTGGCTGGTACGATCGGGCCCAAGTCTCATCCAGCGTAATGATACGGGTAAAAATCTCCTTCGCGCTCATAGCGCGCCAGTGGGTTAGGCAGCATCGTATCGTAGCCATTCTGCATTCCGTCAATTGATGTGGAACCCATCGTGAAGCAATTTTTCTCATGCACAGGCGTTCCTTCAGAATGTGCAGCACAGTCGTATGCACTAATCCTGTTTGTCCGGCCAGCTGACGAATCATTTGGCGGCGATCACTGTCCATTAGTGTGGCAACAGCTTGCATGTCTGCATCGCTGACACTCTGATGACCTGGATGCAGCATGTCTGCCACGTTTTGGTGTCCTTCATTGAATGCTTTCACCCATCTTGCTACGGTTCTGTAAGCCCTTGATGACACTATCATGCTGTACGACCACTGGCACATTCAATTTTTATCCAACATAGTTGTCCTTGTTTTGAAAACATCCTGACAACACTTACTTTAGACCGCGAGCTAATACAAGGATCCATTCTTCGCATGCACGTGAAGTAGGCAGGACAAGTCTCTTTTTGCTGAGAGGTAAGGTAGGTATGTAGTTTACGTGTGGCATATGCGATATTCTTTGGTTTTGTTGCGTAGCGTTTTTTCAGCTGTGTTGCCATTATTAAAGTTCCAACCCTCGTATTTTATTTAATAAAATAATTTAAATACGAGTCACTTTAGCTCAGAAAGTTTCCATAAAGTTATTTTAGCTAAGTCTGTACTTAACAGAGAACCCACTCAATGTCAAAACAAAGACTATGCTTAAATGCCGTTTAAGCATAGTCTCTGTTTTGACATTGTAATTTTTCTGCATGTAATACTCATTCAGTCTAATTGGCGATAATTTTACTAATGCTATCATTTATTCTGTGGTACTTTTTTGCATGGAGGCATCAATGGACTACATTTAACATCAACTTTTATTACCATTTTAATTTCCTGTTTAATTCCTGTCCATTTTAATTTTCTTTCCCCCCCAAAAAAAGATTAAATTTATTTTCTTACCAGCAAGTCTTCAGAAATAGATATGCTGTTTCTTGTGCACAAAAGCACAACATTAACCATAAAAGGAATGCATGGCTATCACTTATGTCATGCTGTAAATAATTCAACTAATTTTACGGAACACAGGCAGGATACATAGGCAATTTGACATTGGCAACCTCTAAACATTAAATCATTAAAACCAGTGGTGTAGTGAGGAGTGAAGGGGGTGTATGATGCCTGGGTGCCGCTGGCAGACGGGCACCAAATGGTCTCCAAACAAGATTTTCATCATATCACTGTTTTTTGGAGGGGAGGGTGCCAAAAAGGTATTTTGCTCTGGGCACCAGTTATGCTTGCTACTCCACTGATTAAAACACGAGGTAAAGAAAGAATATTTACTGTTCACTTAAGCAAATTTTGATGCCTACGTATTTGCACAACCACCTCTAGAATGAATGCACCCAAACTCTGGCAGCCATACATAACTATCAGTTTGCAAAAACAATATCCACCTGGACAAATTTTGTCGATCCCTCCTTCTAGAGTGGTAATACCCAGACAATAGAATTTCTATCGGGCCATCTTCAACACATAACTGTACGAGTATGAGAAGCACAACATCCGCAATTCTGCCCCATCACTTTTCTGAACTGTGAAGACAATCTGTATCAGTTTTGTTTTGCACTGATTTTTCTTCTTCATATGCGCCACAGCCTGTTACAGGCCAAGGCTGTCTCTCCAAGTTTCCTCCACCTGATCTTCCGTCAGTTAATTCCAATTAACCTTAAATCTTCCTCGACATCTTCTATCCATCTAATGGGTAGTCTTCCTTTTTGTCTTACTCCCTCAATTCTCAAAAAGTTTTTATCTTTTTGGTTGGAAATGCATCATCATCATATCTAAACACATATCCCAGCCATCTGATACAAGATGCCTTTACAATTCTCACAATATTAGTGCCATCATATTTCCTACATTTTCCATATAGTTCATGAGTATAGAGAATCCTCCACATGCCATTTTGTAGTACTGGTCCAAAGATCTTTCTTAGGATATTTCTTTCAAAAGTTGACATCAGGTCTTTTCTGCTCTGTTAAGTATCCAACATTCACTTCCGTAAATGGCAACAGGCCTTATTAAAGTTTTACATAAATTTAGTTTTTATGTTGATTAGTTTGGATTTAAGTTGCTTATTAAGGCCGTAGTAACATCGATTAGCCATAAATATTATTTCTTTATTTCAGTTTTTATATCACTGCAACTTGTGATCAATATGCCCAGATATTTAAATTGTTTTATGGTTTCAAAGGTATAACTGTTTATCTTCAAGGGGGATAAATCAACAGTTTTATTAGATGCAATCACACATTTTGTTTTGTCTTCATTAATAATTAGGCCCATTTTTCTTGCTGCATTTTCAAGTGAGAGAAAAGCCTCGACCACAGCTCGTTTTGGTCACCCAATGCTATCAATGTTATCGGCGAAAGCCAGCAGTGGAATGGTTCTGTGCAAGATGGTTCCACTTATGTTTATTCCAGAGACTATTATGGCCTTTTCTAAAGCTATATTAAACAGCAGGCAGGTAAGATAGTGAGTCTCCCTGTCTTAATCCATTCTCAGTATAAAAAGGTTCTGAAAGGTATGTTGAAATTTTTATTCTACATATAACTTTTTAAGGGTCATCCTTGTGAGGCTTATCAGTTATTATTAATATTAAATTCTAGCATTGCTTCAAATAGTTTTTCTCTGTTAATACTGTCATAGGCAGCTTTTAAGTCAATGAACAGGAAATGTATTTGTGGGCTGCCAGTTTGACACCGCTTTACTAGAAAACAAATATATGTGATTAAAATTAATTTGGGATATCCATCCACATTGATTGAATATCGCTTCACAGCAGAATGGAGCTACATGTTTAAATAGGCAAAGTCAGAGCTGATGCAGCACAGTGATGTAAGACAACTTCCAATTAACTCCCCTTACGAGGATCACAATGATGAGAGGTCACTCAAAGGAATGACCTAGCCCTTCTCTTTAACCCTGACTACAGAGTGAAACTTGTAGTTTTTCACAGTGCCTTTCTATAAAATTCAATTACTTACAAAAAAAAAAAACTTTGTGGAGACACACTTCTGAAGAAATTCAAATCTTTTTTTCCATATTCCCGAAATGCCACAGTCCTATTATGATTCATAACAAGAAAAAATAATGCAAAAACAAACAGTTATCATAAAAATGATAGATGAATTCAGAAAATGGAAATAAATGTGTACTGTAATGCAAGTCTTGAATGCATATCTAGGTTGCCACATAAGTGCATTTTGACAACAAGATGGGTTGCCACATAACTATTTTGGCAACACGGTGTCAAGGTTGGTGCTAGACATTTTGCCGCCTGTTTTAAGATCCATGGCTTGTAAATTACGTCACCAAAAGTCATTATAAATTATAAATATTATGCCGACCTAACATCCTGACACTTGGTGCAACCACACAGGTTGCACCGGCTCTAGTATCAGCCTTGAATAGTGTATTGCCTCGTAAATACTTTACAGGAAGATGCAGATAATCAGAAAAAACAAAATGTTCAAAGCATACAGCATTAAAACTATTCAATGTATTTTGGTGGAACACAAAATCTGTACTTTTCCGTTTCACCGGCGCAAATCTCGCCAAGCAGGCTTTGTTGGCGACAACATACAGTATACACATAAAAACGTTAACGAATGTTAGTTCTAAGAATTTTTTATTTTGAAGGCATAAACATTTTAATATGGTTTAAAATTTTACAAAATTCCAATAAATAAAGACAATAAATTTGTAAAAAGACACTAATGTAATAATTTACTATGCTTTCATGGTTCAATATCCTGATTCGCGGTTCGTATCACGTGACCCAAGTGATCTCATATCACGTAAACTACGCTACAAAAATTTAATTCTCTCAGTAATTATCTATATTAATTTCAAGTTAAATTTTAATTTGGAATACAAGTTTAAATGCAAGAATTATTTCAATTCCTACGAATAGCTTACTCAGAAATGATGTAAAACCGTAGTGCTTTAATTCGCTAGCACATTCTCATTAGAACTGATTAATTTAACCCTTGATTTTGTCTTTTCTATATTTTCGCTTTCGGGTGAGCGATGTGGTTGCATTCTAATTGACTTAATTACCGCGAATCGTCTTAGGGCCTAAAAGTAAACTATCTTGTAAAATTTTTATGTAATTGTATGCCAGTATTAAAAGAAACAATCTGATAAGAAACGGTTGCGACTTGTTTTGAAAATGAGGCGTAAAAGGTTACCAGCGAAGATATTCCGTTTGCCATCAGTTGTACCATTATTGGCGATTTTATCGTTTGCGCCGGCAAAACGGAAAAGTACCACAAAATTTTGCAATGAATGTGAATATCATGATGAATACAGGAACGGTCACATTTCGCAGTCTCAAACAGATGAGAAATCTGAACTTGTTGCTGAAAATTGTTTGAAAATCTATGTCTCTGAATTAATGTGGATAAAACTATTATAAATAAAGAGATTGCTCATAAAACTATTGCGGAAGATGCTAAAACAAGAAAAATATATTCTTTTCTTCCTAATATACTGATTGCAAAACAGAAAGAGAGAATTTCTGCAAATGTTGATCTGATCCAAATGACAGATATTAAACCTAACAGTTTAAAACAACTGTGACTGAAGGTAAAATTTAGCTCTTAATAATCTTGAGATAAAATAGTAGTCAGAAATCTCAAGTAAGGACCATGCCGTTAACATTTTTTACCGGAAAGGAATAATTCACAAGGAATTTGTTGTTGAGGGACATACACCGCTTTCCATATACATAAATGCACTCCATATTTTATAAAGACCTAACAGGTACATTTCTGAAGAAAATTCAGTGCATTACAAGTGAACAACTGCATAGAATAACTCACTTTTGCTGTACAACAGTATGTCATGTGGTCACAAAATCAATCCTCCTTCTCGAGTTGTCAACCATATCTACTATTTACCCAATTTAGCACCTGCAGACTACTTTCTTACTCCTACAGAGAAATCTTAGTTCAGAGGTTTGGGTAAAGTAGACTTTAAGGTACCCCTTGTATTACGGCGAAGTTGTTGTTTGATTTATCACCAAGTTGTTGTTTCATTTATGGTAGTCTGAGTAGTTGAATGTTATGGAAACCCTATTGTGACGTAATCGGGTGCATGACTCTGGGAAATTTTGAATCATAGGATGTTTTGTAAGCATTTTTGTGGTGTGTGTTAAAACCGTTTAGAGGGATTTGAATGGGTTTGTAGGAAAAAAAGTTCAGATGGTCACTATGTGAAGCGTTCGATCAGAAAGAGTACCTGGTTTGAAAAAAGTCATTTGAGTATGATTGATATTTTGATTTTTCCGTGGCTCTGGGTGTACGAAGCAAACTTGAAAATCATGGTAAGTGAATATTTGCTTTTGGTAGTGCTTAAATGTATAACATGTTTTTCCTTTTTTATGTTATTTTATTGTTTGGTTTAAAATGTATTTTATTGAGATTATGTATTTTTTGTTTGCCTATATTGTAGACTTTGGTGCTCCTTTGACTTTTTAAGTGAAAATATATCGATGTGTACATGGACAAAGTAAAGGGAGCGCAAAATGCACGTTTGTGCAATTCTGGGATTTCTTTTTAAGTGAAAATAGGTCGACATGTACATGGATACAGTTAAAAGAGTGCGCAATGCCATTTTTTTGTGCAATTCAGGGATTTTTTTAAAAGTGAAAATAGGTCGATGTGTACATGGATACCGAGTTTGTGCAATTGCTTGTCTTGTTATTTTGGCTTTGTGTAGCGAAAATAACGAGTCAAACAACTGCACAAAATCGGTATCCTGGTACTGCCAAAAATCGCCAAGGGGTACCCTAAACTATACTTTTACCAGAAGTTTTTGTTTTAATAGTAATGAAGAGTAATTTAGAAATGCTTAATCAGAGTATTATGCAGAATTCCAAAAGATGTGTTTTGCAAAAGAATTCATATCCTATCTTACTGTTCTCCAGAAACAAAGTCAAGAGGTATTTATGATATCCTGTAAATACGAAACAAATCCTCTGTCAGACTGTCAAAATCTGACAATGAATAATATTCTTAATAAAATAGTAAATTTAAGTCAGATCATCAGAATTTTTTTAAATACTGCTTAATGAAACACATAATAAGAATTTATGTGCAAACTGCTCAATTCTCGCATTTCAGACTTTTTAAATGTATAACATTTGCAAAAACTCTCCTTTGAAAGAGTGCCCTGAAACCTACATTATGTTTTAATGAAAGTAAAAAACCCATAAAAAGAGCAGAATCGCCCACTGCTTGGCATGTTTTTAAGAATTGCACATACTCGGTATCCATGTACACATCAACCTATTTTCACTTCAAAAAACATCCCAGTATTGCACAAAAATGGCATTGTGCCCTCCCTTGACTTTATCCATGTACCCATCGACCTATTTTCACTTAAAAAGTCAAAGAAAATTGACAAAAATCCAATTCTTCTTACTCTTGTAAAAAGCACCAAACAAATAAGTGAGCGATTCTGCACTTTAGCCAAAAACTCATTCTTAATCAAAATGTGAGAATCAATATAATTTAAAAAAATATAGACAGAAAATAAAAAACGGTTTTGCTGCTTTCAAACAGTAAAAAATGTTGAACAATATCATAACTTGACAACACACATTATTGACTGCCAAGGCCGCCCAGTCAAAGAATTCTCTTTATTTTGCCGCCTTAAAATTCTGACTTTGAAAATGGAAGGTCGGTTTATAGGTGAGGGCATTTTATATTCGGTATAATGCACTATTTCACATTTTGTTTTTGCTTTCTGTCGAAAATTGTCGGTTCCTCTACAGAAAACGTTTCTTGTACCGAAACTCATTTAGAAAATTTCCTGAAATAAAATTCTAGCTTACGTTGTTCAAATTCGAGTCCGGGGACCTAATGCAACATGAATCTGAGCAACACGAATTTTAATTTAACAACTGTGATACCAATCAAAATCAGTTTCTTCGGAAATGAATCACTATTACCGCTTATAGCAACAGTTCTTAAACGCTAAAGATTATATCATGAAAAGCATGATATGAAACAAAATGATTAACTTAAAAAGGAAAAAAAACAAACCTGAAATGAATTTTCAAAATCATCCACTATCTGACCATTAGCAGATGTAGCCATATCAAAATAAATAACATAAATTAGACGACGCAATTACTATAAACAACTGTACTCACAATACATCGGCAAAAACAAAAGTAAGACACCGCAATGTGTACTTCTCCGACGTCGGACTCGGACGCTTAGCCAATACATATTGTTTGGCTGCCAATCTGAAAAGGAAAGGCTAGACGTTCAATTGAACGCGCAGAGACACTTTTTGTAATATTTGCGCTTTCTGATCTCGGAAATCTTTGTTTATAGTAAGTAGGCAGAGTGATTTTTTTTGTGGATATTCAATGCAGTTATTGCATTCAATTATTTCACATAACGAATACCTGCAGTCATTCTTCAAATGTATCTAAAACTAAGTACAAAAAACTATTGATCAGCTAGAAACAGTACAACACTCGTTGTTAATTATATCTGCGTAATTAATTTATAAGTTTGCCACATTTTAATGACTACAGCTCTTTTCTAAATATGCAGGTTTACTTACTATATTATTTATGTATGAATAATAATAACTGAAATTAATATTTATTTTTGGTGAGCAGTATATGAATCTCTCAACCTCATCAATAAAAAAGTTTTTTGCTTTTGGCTGCTTCGAATTGCAACATATTAATAATGTTCATTCAACACACAAATTGAACTGAGTAAGCTGAATTGCCGAGTTGTATACATAACAAATACTTTTAACGACCACTAAGGAAATTTTTCGCTATATATCTTGCAGTAATCTTTTATATATGTTTAATGCGGATCGCAAATTTTAACGCGGTAATTTTTAATCGGTTTTAAAGGATTTAGTTCGAAAATTTTAGTAAGGGAAATGAGTAATCTTTCTTCAAACGTATCTTTTCTAAAGAGAGATACTTCAGATTTATTGAGCCTGTATAAAAAATATGAAAGTTTTCCGAACAATTTACGTTATAGTAAACAATCTAATATATCGCCTTCCCGTAGTAATGTAAGAGATGCTATAATATCATTAATGAAAGAACTGAACTTAAATGGAAAACTTCAGCAGGAATTGCTTTATTACGCAGACACAGGGAAAAGTTTTCCGTTCTTGCCTAAAAAGATAATTAATTTCAAAGAGAGAAAAATTGAAAAACCTTTAAGTGCAAAATTATTGAAATTGCCTGATAAACCAATGCAGAGAACAAAAAGCACTATCGAACAAATAGGGGCGTATGAAAGAGAACAGTTCAGACCGAATCCATCAAAAAGTGAGACATATCTCAATCTATGTATTTATTTGACTGATCTTTAGTATATGTTGTACTGCAAATGTTTAATTCATAATTAGTTTTGATGTTTAATGATATTTTATGAACTACTAATATTTTGCACACATGAAAGTGCAAAGGAAACATTCTGATGAATTTCCTATTGATTAAATAGCCAATTTTTTATGCTTGTGCAATTTAAGATAGTTAGACAATAAATGATACAGAATTTTAATTTTTAAATGTATTGAAATGCATAGGGCCTCCTTGATTAGTTAATATGAAATGAACTATTATTTGAGATGTAAAATTATTTAAGGTAGAGGCTCTTGTAGTTAACTGAAAAATGTTGGTAAATTTTATTTTGTAAATTCAACATTAATTCCATTATATAATGTTGATGAATAAATTTGTGCATTTTGGAGAAAAGGAGTAAGATTGAACAGATGGGCAATTACATATCAAAATATAGTTAGTAAATATTGTGCATCCATATCATATTGTTTGCTGAACAAATGATGGTGTTGTTCCGTTCATATCAGGACCAGATCCAGAAATGTATTATGTATGTGTTCATGTACACATGTATATATATATACATGTGTGTATGTATACATATCCACATATATACTCATACATACACACGTGCATACATTTCTGAGTATATATGTGTGTATACATATCCACATATATACTCATACATACACACGTGCATACATTTCTGAGTCTGGTCCCGATAACAGAACAGTACCCAAATGACTCTTTGTTTTTAAGTCTTGAAAAATGGAATGTTAATTAGGCAAAAACATCCATTCATTTCAACTTATATTAACCATAGAGGCAGAATTTCTCACCGCCTGTAGTAATATGCACCAAAAAAGGGTTTGTGCTGTTAGGAATATTTTAATGGATAAACAAAGAACTAATTGGAATAATAATGATAGCATGTTGATTTTTGTTGTTCTTGGTGAGACCATACAGTATACAAAGCCCCAGTTTTTGTTATTTTGTCATATATATAACTATTGCCTGATTACTGCCCATCTCTTTGGTAAATCGGCAAGTAGTTTGACATAGATCATCCATCTCGAACTGTTCAAAACACCGTCATCAATGTATGATAAATGACCAGAATATAGAGAATTCCTGAGGTAAAAATATTCTCGAATGATTAGAGTGTCTGTGGAGCAACAGCATCCTCCTCATATTCAACATGAATATATAATATTTAGTAGCCTATGTAGATGAGCTTCCCATGACTGGAAAAAGATGATGAAAAGACAGCTTATTATCTACTTGATACTCCGTGTTTCAAAATTTAGGGGAAAAAAAAAAAATCTTTCAGAACTCGGTATGAATTGCATATGCAGTAAAGCTTTCCCGAACGTGGGAGTTACATCATTAACACGTCACGTGTATGGCAAAATCGCGTTCCACTAAGGTAATCTTCTATAGAAAAAAAGTGTATGAAGTGTAGTTTACATTAAGCAAATATGTATAATTTATGTAAACCTAAACACTATTGTAATTATAAGAGGAGAATAAAACAAATGCTAATTGAAAAGATTTCTATTACTTGCTTTGTAAGTATGCACGTGATACAATTACTATTTTAAATAGCTGGTGATTTTTGCTTGGAATAATGTCTGATGCAACTAATTAACATTTCATAGTAAAGATTGCAAAGTTTTACAGTACCTTTCATAAATTATCCTTTTCTTTTCTTCATTTGGGTCAGTCTCCACAAAATCAGACAGTTCTTATGACTTTTGTAACAATTTGTTTAACTACTTGTACAATAAAGGCATTTTATTTTCTTCAGTATTCCTGCTTTCATTGTCGGCTGGTTTTGTAAGATCATCCAATTGTTCATTTGTCATTTCAAAATTGTTTTATTTGATTATGGCAAAACACTCAAGGGCTATCTGCCTAAGAGTAGGAATGCCTTTATGGAGGACTTTTAAGGAAATTATCTTGTATATTACAAATGGAAAAAACCACAAAAATGCTCATGCAGCCAGCCATTAGGATTCGAACCTTGGACCGAAGTACTGTATTCAGCAGCTTTACCTACTCAGCCACTAGTGGGTCCTTTCATGACTAATCATTCTTTACCAATCTTCAATTTCTCCTACTTCTATATCTGAGAAATCCTTTGCTGCTTGTTGCTTTTGTGAATTGTACCATTTCTTTGGAATAATTTTCTATCAATGAAAATCCTTTAAAATTGTTGACAACTTCGGGCCAGTGCTGATGTCAGCAAGCATTCATCATTGATGAATTTACTTATTCCCATATGAGTTTAATCATTTCTGTGCAGTATATTATGTTGAATTATTTCCAAAATGCCACTAGTGGGTCATGCTTCCCTTTGTCTCATGCTTTTTTTTGCAGAGATATACTCGTGCCTTTGAATGTTTTTGTGATTCCTTAATCCACTGGCTGGATTAAGGAAGTAGCAATCAGTGGAAGAAATAAAACCTCTACATTTAATGCAATAATGTAAAGGCTTCAGTACAGTGTCCTTATATGTTATCAAGAATTAGAAGAACTTTAAAAATCAGGTTTCGCTGTTCTAAGCAATGCTGGATTTCTTTAATCAATGAATTTTCAAATCAGTTTTTAAAGAGGATTATTGCAACTTAGCAGATGCTCTGAAATGTACCATGTGCGGTTGAAATTCTCACACAAACTTTTCAAACTAAATGAACACAATTAAAATAATGAGTCTATGCAAAATCAAGTTCTGCAAGGATTTATTCTATGAAATGGTGAAAATAAATAAAAATACTAGATAGCTGACTACATAAAAAGTGCAGTTTATGGCAAAAAAACCACATGAATGGAAGTAGAAACTTCCAGTCTAAAATTGTAAAATCTGTCATTTTATTTTTATGAGCATGAATATCTTAAGTTTGCATTTGATATTGTGCAAGATTATGCAGGAAGAAAAAACATTTGAGGTATAAAGTTGATGTGTTCTTGAAGGTCATACGCTTATTAAAGTAAAGCTTTCAATCCACTTATGAGTGGCAGAAATTAAGACCTGATCACTGTTTAATTAGTTAGATAGACAAGAAATTCAATTTACAAATGTAACATTTTAAATCATTTGTCATATTTTTTTACACTTCATCACCATTATTTGTCCATTTTCCAATAAAACATCATATTGTGTCCATTAAAGCACTTTTTTCTTTTTTCTTGTTAATGTACTTACGGCACATCCAAAATGTTAATTGTTTCTCAAAATCTGAGGAAAAAACAAATAAACATCAGTTAACATATACCTTTCTTCACAAAAACTAAACATCCTTATCTAGAATTAACTGTGTTTACATAAAACAAAAGCAAAGATCTTATGACTGTATTGTGACATCATTGTTGGTACTAAATCACACAGTTTGGCAACAGGTATGAATTACTATTATATGTGCTGTATAATGGCTTTACAAGTCTTTCATTTGCTTAATTTTTCATAAACAAATCATAAATTTTAAAACCTTCCAGATACTTGAGTTTTTCAATTAGTTGAATGCTGCATAGGCAGCCTTTTACTGTACACTGCGGAAAAAAAAAGGGGGGGACAGTTCTATATCTCCTGTTTTACTGGGCCGATTGACGAAATTCAAATTCAAATTCAAACCGGTGTTCTTCATGTCTCGAAAGCACAACTTAGGATATATACACTCTTTTGCAAAAAAATCGAAGCACCAAGAAGGAGTTTTGCAATCATGAGGAAATTTGGTTTGCAAACAACATCTTGATCGAACATGCAAATGATCAAAGTTTCAAGGCAAATGAACAGGAATTGTGATCATAGCGTGCATGTCTGGTGCGCAATTCCCGCAATACAACCAGTAACAAAGGCAGAAAATTTATCCCCCCCTCCCTTTTTTTTTTTTTTTTGCTGCCACTGTCGTCTGGAGTGTTTCGCAGCCAGTCATCATGTCTGCCATCAGACTGGCATCGTATAGTGTTCAGTGATGAATCCTGCTTCACTCTTGAAGCAGATGACCACCGTATTCGTGTCTGGAGAGGATGGGGCCAGCGGTCTCGATCAGCCTTTGTTTTACAAAGACATACAACCATAACCCCTGATCTGATGGTGTGGGGTGCTATTTCTTTACGACAGCAGGTCATCTTTAGTCATCCTCCGTATATCTTTAACAGCTCAGCGATATGTTGATACCATCCTGCTGCCGGTTGCATTACCCTTCATGGCACGTCATCCTGGGGCCATTTTCCAACAAGATAATGCCAGGCCACGTACCGTTCGCTTATCCCTGGACTGTCTCTGTGCGTTTGATACTCTTCCTTGGCCAGCAAGGTCACCAGACCTTTCACCAATCGAACATGTTTGGGACATGGTAGGCCACCAGATTTGTGCACCATGAAATATCTCTGATCTGGAGCGACAACTGATGAATGCCTGGCAGAATGTGTTGCAGGATGACATTAGGAACCTCTACCACTCCTTGCCTCAATGAATTCAAGCATGTATTGCCGCCAGGGGCGGTTCAACCAACTACTAATTTGAACACTCAATGGGTGATTGTGAGCTGTGAACATATACTATGACCTTGATTTTTGAATCATTTTAATATCTGTGTATGAGCTATACACATATTCAATTTCATCAAAAACAACCACTTCCTTCATGGTGCTTAGATTTGTTTTGCAAAAGAGTGTTTTAGATTTATATATAGCATTATTCTAACAGGTATTTTGACACAAAATTGGACTTTCTGAAGTTACATGCCAATTTTTTTACATATTTCAATTCTACGACTCAAATTATACCTAAATATTAAATTTTGTAAAATTTACAGAGAAATTAAAAAATTTATCTCTGCGCTTTTTTTTCAGTTTGAAGCCAAGAATAGTTCATTCGCGAACTACTTAATATGTGGCCTTTACTATTTTCCTTCCCCTTTTTACATTGTGCATGAGTGGGAAAAAAATGACATCATTCTTTCTTTCAAATAATGTTCTTTATATTATATTTTAAATTATAATTGTTATTATTTTAAATATTTTTTTCTTTTTCAAATTTCATTTTAATTGTTTAAGTTGCATGGTTTCTTTCAAATAACTGTTTTAAAATTTCTATTTACTCATTCAATCTGCATAGTTTAAATAAAGGTGCATCATTTATTTTTTTTTCAAATAGTTTTCTTTATTGTATTTTTTAGTCATAGTTATTATTTTAGGTAATTTTTAAATTTTCAGACTTTTATTTTAATTGTTTGTATTGCATTGTCTCTTCAGATAATTGTTTTAAAAATTTTCTATTCATTCATTCGAACTGCACATTTAAAATATATTATTAATATAAATTTTCCAGAATTTAATTTTATTTATTTGAATTGCTTTTCTTTCAGAAGAATATTTTGTGATCCAGACTACAGTGTGTTTGAAAACTGCATATATTAAAAGAGAAAACATAGTAAAGCACAATTAACACGACTTTCAATGTTCCATTCAGAAAAGATATACTATAAATAATAAAGATGTATATCCAACATTTTAATTTAGGATGACTTGCATACATTGCTTTAAACAGTTTTATCATTGTGCCCATTGCTTTACACAATTTTATCATCCTACATTTAATTTCTTACAATGTTATTCATATTTTAGTCAAATGTTTTATTTTTGAAAACACAAAAATCAAATATCATGAAATTTAAAAAAAATACTAAATTTTATGCAAAAATTTATTTTTTATTCTTTGATGGCTTGCTCTTTTTTATTCAGGCATTCTGCAGATATAGTAAAAAGCATCCAACTTTACATCTTGGTTAAACATCTTGGTATTTCTGACATTAATTTTAAATAAAGTTATCGCCTTCCATTTCAGAAAGGCCCACGAACAGCCGAGCAATTGTTGAACACTGGTAGTTCGCTTCGGGGCTCAAATCCCGGTGAATAAGCTGGTTTCAAGGGCGTTTTCGTGGTTTTTCTCATGTGTAACATATATACGAGCTGGTTTCCTTTGAAAGTTCTTCACGAAGGCATCTCTCCTTTTAGGCAGATAGCCCTGCCTTGCTGTAAGTTAACAATCGAAATCCATTTCATCAGTATTTGGTCAGAGCCTTTATCAGTCTTTAGAGACTAGGCATTTTGAAGGCATGAGATGAAAGGAAAAACTAGTTTCATCAAGAGGCAAAATGTCTTTAGATGATATACATATATGTCACTGGATAAATTCTTGAATCTTCAAATAATTCGACTGAGAAATCATGGGTTGCTCCGTTTATTATACGATATGATGTTCTATGATGTAATTTAAATTTATACAACTATGTAGTTGAAAACCAGTCACTTCATTTTAATCTGCAGTGATATCATTTTTGTCTTTTCCGTTAACACAAACTCAGTTGCTGCTATTTGCTGGTGTACACATCCAAGTGTTTTCTCTTTGGACACCCAACTTGCTTGAAGTAGATTCCCCTTTAAATTTTTGCTTTTTCCCCCCTAATTTCCTTCTTTCCTTCTAGATTTTTTTTCAGTGCTGACACAAGAAATAATAAAAAATATTAATAATGTGAATAAGATTTTTCGATTGTTATACTTCCATAAATTTTGCATTCTTTTCCATTTTTTTAAAATATCAGTTGCATCAAATGCATTTCAGGTGAAGACAGCTTTTCAATTTCTAGTTATTTTAACTATAAATAAAGTTTAAAGCAAAGTCCAAAGGATAAATATTTGAATTAAAAGATTTTTGTTAAATGAGGAAGAAATCAAGCACTCCAGCAGCGCTTATCCTGTACCACCAAGTGATCCATATATTGGATGCAAACAATCTAAATTATATGATTTAGAATTTTTAAGCCTAATAATTTCTATATTAAAGGACATGTTTTTTGTATAATCTATAACAAGAGAGGAAATTACTAATTAAAACATTCTTTCTAAGAGAATTAATGTAAATATTTATATTTTTTAAAGCTGGGACATGACCCAAACTGTCAACGTCCTGTTTGCTTAAAAATGTTATGAAAATAAACATCAAATGAACTTTCTCAGTTTTAGACAAATGCAGTTAAAGTAAAGTAGTAGAAAATAGCACAGCGAAGGTAAAAATTTACTCTTACAAATATTTTTTTAAAGGAAGAAAGAAAGAAATTTTAAAAAATTTTAAATTTGAATAATATCATCAATAATTAAAAAAATAGCTTTTCATATAGTATTAATAAATATTTATTACACATTTATTGACGGAAAAATTTCATACAATTAATTCTCCATAAAAATTTATTTGAAATTTATGGTTAAAAATAGCTGTGGCAATTCACTGTAAGAAAATCCATAAACCACATTTAGCATTATTATCGCTCAGAAAAAGGTGCCAAATTTCAAAACACGAAAATATATAAATTCGTGTATATCTTGAAAAATTTTGAATAAAAAACTCTGATTTTTTGCAGTATGCTTAGAAATACTTTAAGATGGTGGTAAAATTTTATAGGTTATAATTCTAAATTTTTTTCAAAAAATTTATAAAAATTATTTAAAAATAGAAATTTTAAAAATAAATTATAAAAAATGGGTGAATTTTATTTGAAATGAACCTAAATTTCAAAATGTGAAAGGAAGAATAAAAAAAGTTTAATAAAAAGGATATATTAATAAATATATACTAAATTCAATTAACATTGAGGAGCTAAAATTTTGAGAGCTCATTTTTTAAAAACTACTCATGTGATTTTTACAAAACTTGGCAGTCTGGCGTAATTTAAGTCGTAGAATCGAAATATGGAAAAGAATTGCTATGCTATTTCAGAAAAAGTCCAATTTTGTGTCAAAATACCTATGTTAGAATAATGCTATGTATAAGACTAATATATATTCCCTAAGTTGTGTTTTCGAGTCATTAAAAGTGCAGTTTGAATTTCGTTAATTGGCCCAGTAGAACAGGAGTTATAGAATTGTTCCCCCCTTTTTTTTTGTACATAGCTACATTTGTACATAGCCAGTGTACATAGCTACATTTTTTATATGCCGTTCTCTATCTGCACCATTGCTGTTACCATGTGAAAGGCCTGAAATGCTTAAATGGCATGAACTGGTGCATCAACACTCCTATTTTTCTCATGAGATCACTTTATTATTTAATGACTTATTGCATATAGATGTGCATCATTTGTAATAGTTTACAGAAAGATAGATAAAATATTGTGGTCATTCAATCCATCCAATATATAAATAGAAATGGTAGTTTTACCATTTAGTATGCTGCAATCAAAACTTTATACATCCCTGAAATAAACTCTAGATCAGAGGCTCTTAACCAGTGGTACGTGTATATGCAAGAGAAAAATAGGTGGTACACAAAGAAGCAAAATATTTTTAACTATTAAATTCAAAAATTAAAACCCCAACATCCTGATTGAGTTTTTTTCTCTAACACTCGTAACTTTATGCTATCTGAGCTTTGTTCAAGAGTGGTAGTGGTAGTAGTACTTTGTAGTAGTGGTACTAAAGGTTTTAAATCTTTGTTTAGATTGTACGCATTAGCCAAAAGGTTGAGAACCACTGCTCTAGATGTTTCATTTTGATAGATATATGTGAAACAACCATTAAAAAATTCTTTCCAAATCAAATTTATTCATTCTTTCAGGAAAGAAAGAGCAAAGATGAAGATTTTTTGACTGTATTGTGACATCATGTATATCCATTATTGGTTGATTATCTTTTTAGTTTCAGAGATTTAACTTTTTTGCTTCTTTCTAGCTAGAGCATCCCATGAAAAGGAGAGGCTTCAGAATTTAATGGCTTTTGGTGAAGATCTGAATAAAGAACCAAATATTATCACGATCGATACAGAACCTTCAAGAATATCAAAAGAGGATCTTTTTGACGAAAGTAATTGTAATAATTCATTTTTCTTATAATAAGGTTTCTAATTATTGGAGTAATATAATCCAAATTAGTCAGTTCCTTTCCAGTGTATTAACTTCTTTCGTATATAAACTTTATACAGGCATACAAAATTAGATAAATAATATTTGGGATAAATTACTGTATTTAATATTATTTGTATTTTTAGATAATATTAATTTATTAACTTAAATCTACAAATTCATATTTAAAAAAAATTTTAATTTGAAAAATAAAGTAAAATTCTCCAATTTCATCTCCTGCAAAATAATCATCTGACAGCATACCCCTATCGTAACAATGTTATTTTGGAAGGAAAATTTAAATACATCTTTTAAATATGCTCTGATAACAATATAGTATAAGGCATTTTCTTTCTCATTATCATATGCCTTAATGGTGTAATAGAAAGCATGTCTGGCCAGCAGTTTAGAGTTTGAATCTTAGCGAGGGCATTGCATATAGATTCCTGCTTCAATTCTAAAATTATAATGAAACTGAATATTTTGGAAATTTATGTTTAAAAACATATACAGTACAAAGTCTGTAATCCTTAATAATCTATAATCTGGACCTCAAAGCCACAAACTTTATGCATGCACGCGTTGAAAGAAATGTTTAATAAAGTAAACAAATAAATGTTAGGGTTTTTTTTTTTTTTTTTTTTTTTTTGTAAAATTTGATACTCTTTAGATCATAATTGCTTTTTATTTTTTTATTTCATAAATTACGGTTTCATATTTTTAATTGTATAATTTCTGCATGCCATCTTACCAGATTTAAATTGATGATCTATAATCCAGAAAAACCCCTAATCTGGAATCGCCGAAGTCCCGACGAGTTCGGATTATGGACATTTTACAGTAATGCTAATTGTAAGAAACATGTACATTATTATAAGAAAATGAGCTATGTTAATTATTGGAATGCTTACATTACCAAAACACTTTTGAAGAATTTTGCAATACATGCAAATTATTATAATTGGATTTATTTTATTTTACTAATTGATCAGAGGCTCTTAACCAGTGGTACATGTATACCGCTGGTTGTACGCAATAGAAAAATAGGTGGTAGACAAAGAAGCAAAATATTTTTAACTATTAAATTCAAAAATTAAAACCCCAACATTCTGATTGAGTTTTTTTCTCTAACACTTGTAACTTTATGCTATCTGAGCTTTGTTCAAGAGTGGTAGTGGTACTAAAGGTTTTAAATTTTTGTTTAGATTGTACGCATTAGTCAAAAGGTTGAGAACCGCTGCTCTAGATGTTTCATTTTGATAGATAAATGTAAAACAACCATTAAAAAAAATTCTTTCCAAATCAAATTTATTCATTCTTTCAGGAAAAAAAGAGCAAAGATGAAGATTTTATTATAATTGGATTTATTTAAGCAGAAAAATAATTTATTTTAAAGTTACTAATTGATAAAAAGCTGAATTCAAGAGACAATAAGCTTTTTCTTTAATCGGAAAACTATGATCAGGGGACAGTGTTAGAGCTGATGTTACCATGTTGCCACACCTGGTGGCATGATTTAGAAGAGGCAAAATATTTGCAATTTAGGAAGGAACAGGTTGGCAGTCCTAATTATGATGCCCTCTTTTACGGAAAAGAATTAATTGAATGAATTAATTTTTTATGTGCTAATTGTTGATTATATAATCAGAACTTTTTTTTAATTCTTACAGTTTATATATATATATATATATATATATTGTTTTTCAGTTTTAATTGAGATCAAAGAGAGAAAAGATTTTCTCGATGAAATGGCTGAACTTGGAGAAGGAAAAAAATATTTGGCAGATATTCAGTGTCAAATTGCACTAGTAGGATTCTCTTTTTTTGCTAATACTATATCACATTTCTTTTTCCTTCTTTCTGAAAAATATTAAGTAGCTTTATAAATCAAGAAATCTAGTGAAATATTTCCATTGTTTTATCATTTTATTATCATTATATACTTTTGTTAGTAAGAATGTATATTTTTCAGTTGAAAACTAATTCTGCTTAACAAATTTTTTAAAGTAACATACTTTTTTAATTAAAATCCATAAACGAAAATTACATAAATGTTTAATATATATTGAAGAATTTTGATGATGAAATATTGATTAGTTGTAAGACAGTGTCTTCCCTTTTTAAATGCCCATCCTGAAAATCATAATCATCTTATTTATGCAGCGTAACATTTGAAAAGTACAGTAAAAATTTTATCAATGATCGTTTTGGATAGAACATTTATGAATACAGAAGAAAGTATATTTATTTAACCACAAAATTTGGCATTTATGTTATTTATTTTTCTTTCTTGTAAATCATATTCCATGTATTTAACATGCAATGTTCTCTATTCAGAAATGAAATTATTCCACGTACACTTTTAATCCTTAATATGGTCAAGGATTTTTCAAATTTTGTGATGTTTGCAAATTGATTCTGATTAAAGCCAAATTAACTAAATTTGAATAAAACTATTTAATGTGGAAGAATATTGATGTTGTAACATTGCACAGCTTAGTACAGAATTGTCCAACATTTTTGGTGGCATGAGTGACTTTTCCTGTAGGTAATATAATGTACTACTAGTATCAAGGAAATATTATAAACTAGTAATCTCATAATGTTACATATAAGCTGCTTGCAGTCATCTTTTCAAGTACTTGCATATTAATGCAACCACCTTAGTAGAAGACCCCAGATTTTCAGAATGTACCATACTCTGGCAAACATGCTCATTACTGTCCTTCAGTCAAGCAGCGCCATCATATTTATGTACATGCTTTTGTTGTATTCTAAGTTCCAACTGTTTTTATAAACAAATCATGAATACTTTAGTTTTAAAATATGTGTTTATGGAATCTGCCAGCAATGGAAGAAACTGCAGTAAAATTTCTTGCAAGAATATATGATTTTACTGAAAATTTTCTGAAGGAAATAAGGAAATCCACTTCCTCACAGCCACTGTTGCCAAGAGTTGCACGAAGACAAGTCTTTGCAATTATCTAATTTTTTAAAGTGAAAACAAGATCACTCTGTACTTCAAAAAGGGTAGTCCAAGAAAATTACAAAGAATGTGTTTTATTTTTTTAATGTATAACTTAATTCATATTTAATAATTCAGATTTGTATTTTAAGTTACTAACTTATGTTTTCTTTTCATACGTTGACAAAGTTTACTGACTTAATGATAAATATACATAGTTTGGGAAACTTTCTTTAAAAAAAAGAAGAAAAAAACTAGAAAACCACCGACTTCCACCCTATAAGTAACTTTTCCCTTTTCATCTGCAAAAAGCCATTAGATTGCATCAAGGTGGTTGCATTAATGTGTAAGTAATAACATTTATAATTGGGTGACCTTTGTTTTTTGACAATTCTTTTTTGACACTAAGATCAGTGCCAGGATGGCACAATTTCAAGGTGGCTGCTACACAAAACAAGTATTAATAAAATGTACCATGCATATACGTCTTAAGTTTCAATTTCATTCTTCTTACATCTTTCCATTAGCTAAAATAATTACATTTATATTCTTAAGGGAAAATTAATTGTTTAAAATGAATCTTCTTATTTTTTGGTGAAACTTTCTTATGTGATTAATTATTTCAGTGTTACAGGGATATTACTCTTTTTTACTAAACACTTATGAAAATAATAATTATGAAAGTTACATATTTAAAGATGTAAGGCATACTTGAATATACTTTTAATGATTAAATGTCTTCCAGGAATAAAAATGTTCTGTTCATAATTCCCCTTAAGAAGCACCAGTTTAAGTCTCTTTCCAAATGCATTTGTTTCCAAAATTGTCTCTATAGGCATAAAAGTGCTGATTTCTCAAAAACTGGATAATTTGTTTGAGGTAATAATTAATGTATAAACAGAAAAGTTAAAGAAAAAATAAATAACAGGAGCTATATTACAAAGCAAAAAAATTTTGGGAACTACTCTGATATGCGCCCTTAAGTCACCAAATTTCTCGCCAAACATTTTTGGCAAGAAACTCCATGCTGCCATATTGCTATCTAAATTTTTTGTCTACATTTCGAACTGTAAGCCTAAAATGTCTCCAAAAACACTGTTTTCGCAGATGCAAAAACCATGTTTTGAACACACGATTTAAGCTAAAAATCCGAAACAAAAACAAAAAATTTAGATAGCAAAACCGTAAAGTTTCTAACCAAAATTATTTGACAAGAGTCCATGTACACAGTGATATGTTTTAACTTAAAAAAACATCTACGAATGGCACAATCTAGGCAACAAACGAATCTATGAACTACGCACACCTCACTTTAATAAATTAACATAACAACAATAAATTTCAAAGAATACCATGTACACAGCATCCTGTTTAAACTTAAAAAAAACATCTACGAATTGCACAATTTAGGCAACAAACGAATCTATGAACTACGCACACCTCACTTTAATAAATTAACATAACAGCAATAAATTTCAAAGAATACCATGTATACAGCGTTCTGTTTCAACTTAAAAAAACATCTACAAATTGCACAATTTAGGCAACAAACGAATCTATGAACTACACACACCTCACTTTAATAAATTAACATAACAACAAATTTCAAAGAATACCATGTATACAGCATTCTGTTTCAACTTTAAAAAACATCTACGAATTGCACAATTTAGGCGGTATGCACTAATCAACAAAATAACTGAAATAAATTTCAAACAATTCAAAAAAACAACAATAACGACAGAAATTCATACTAAAAAAACAATGAACATAACATTCTGCAAAATAAGTACAAGAATAAAATAAAATGCACTTACCATGAATTAATGCTTTTTCGAAAAGCAGAAATACCAATTTCATACCGCCTTTAACATGCCGCCACATAATCACTATCGTATTTATATGACAGCCAGACACACTATCCAGAAAATTCATACTATGGTTCACAAATAAATAAAATAACAAATAATCACAAATCCCTACTTCTATCATGCACAGCCATTAAAAATAATCTCCCAGAACCTCTTTCCACGCCTCCAAATACCCACTGCCCCTCAACAGGATGGCCACGACGATATTTCCTTTTGCCGAACTTCAATTCAACAACTTTCACCATTTTATCTTTCCCTCTTAGCTTTTCAGACACAGAGCATGACGGGAACCAACTAACTCCAGCGAAAGATTTTTCAACGTCAACAGAGTTGCCATACAACATGCAATCGCGCCAAAAACCAGCGCAGAACACACATCACCACATTTGGTGAAATTAGGGCGTATATCAGAGTTGTACCAAATTTTGAAATAATATTATGATATTGAAATTTTAAAAACAACTAAATATCTCAGTAATAAATACAGATTTTTGAAATTAATATAGTTATCTCCCCCAACTCATGCACTCATATCCCAATGTGATTTCTCGGGGATGAATACTACTGCTACTGCCACTTCTTTACCACTATAATCTTCAAGACATTGAGGTCTGCTAGAGGAAGATTTCACCATGCAGTAATTCTGTGAGGGATGTTCTTCCATATTCAATTGAATTTAATTTACCACTTCATTTGTTCACTGCCTTTAATTACAAGAAATTTACCAAATTTCAAAATAACTTAATTCTAAACAATGAGACTATTAATTTATTTTAATGCTTTAAAAATTAAATAATTTACTTTTTTGCAAATTGATAGTGCTTCATGAGTGTTATACGAAACCACCCATATTTGCAACAAATGATTCTTTTACATACTTGAAACACTAAATCTGGATACAGAACCTTATACCTGAGATTATGAACATAATTTTGAAGTGCAAAAGTCTAATTTCAAAATTACAACTAATTTCATTAAGTGCATTAAAAAATGTTAGCTCTCTTTCACTGTAGTGATTTCAAATACATATTCCATTGAAATAAAAAAATAAAAAAAATAAAAAAAAAAGAAAATTGCAATTTGATTCTCACTTAAATAAGAAACCAGAAAATTTCAATTTGATTATAATTACCACCCAACAGAAAGTTAAATCAAATATGCTAATTTTTTTCACTTTTAATATACCACTTAGATTATCATACATTACTTCCATTACACAAAATACTTATTAACTAACATACAGTTCTTGTAAGAAATAACCTTATGTACAAGTATTTTTACCACTTTTCATTATGCTTTTATATTTTCTTGCTTTTTCAGCGACTACGGGAATTAGAAAAGTTGGACAAAGACAGAGCACAGCCCTTTGTTTTCATGTTTGGCATATGAATATATTTAAATTATCACAAGTAATACATTTACTACATTTATTATATACACACTTCAGAATAACTGTAAAACCTATTACTAAACTTTAAAGTACTAACCTGTATTAACTTTGTGCAATGTATATAAATTAATCTAGTATTTCTGTAATTCATTATTTAAAATCATACTTAACTATAAAATAAACCGTTTATGCAAAATCCATACTTACGCATGTCTTTCTTTTAATGTAAGTTATATTTCACAATTTATTTCTTAACATTTTGATTGCATATGCTACATAAAAAGATTCATATTTATGAACATTATAAACCAACCCAATTTTTCCCCACTATAAAACTCGTATGCTTACTCCAAAAATTCCAAATTACATTTACCACCCAACAGAATTAGTTCAGAATTTAAGGCTATTATGTTTCCCAAATACTTTTATATCATACAAAACCTTTTTTTTTTTTTTTTAACTCTTTACACATCAGTTAACTCTCTTCATTTCTTATTATTATCTACCAGTATATTATAAAATAGTACTAAAGAGGCTTGCTGTATTTTTATAGGTAGGTTTGTTGAAAACAGTTAAAATTATTTAATAATTTTTTGATTAGAAATCTTCTATAAATAATTACACTTTGTCAGTAATATCCAATTTGTTAAACAAATTTTTAAGCATATCATTTACGTCAATTTTGTTTCTTTACAAGTAAATAAATATAAAACATGCTTAAAACAGTAATTGAAATATTTATTCACTTCTAAATATACAGTATTTTACAATAACTTACAATTTTATACAAATATACAAAGTATATAATTATTTATAAGTGGCATTACATAATGATCATAAGAAATAATTCACAATGAAATGACATTACCTTTTTTTCCATATATGCTTGACATAATTTCTATTATTAATTGAAATACAGTTGATTAACTCTTTGGTAATTGTCTTTTGAACAGTTCACAAAGTCTTTGGTTAATAATCTTTTAACACATAATGCATTTAGTCTACTTCTTCTACTGTTGGTCCAGATGTGCTGCCACCTGTTGCACCACCAGCTGCCCCACCCTGATGTAGTTTCGTCATTATTGGTGACAATTCACTTTGTATTTCCTTCATTTTATGTTCAATCTCATCCTTTTCTGCCAAAGTATTATTATCCAGCCATTGAATGACACCTTCACAAACATCCTTTACTTTTGACTTGTCACTAGATGAGAGTTTATCATCTGGAGCAGATTCTGCAGCTTGTTTCACAGAATATACATAACTTTCTAGAGAATTTCTAGATGTTATTCTTTCCCTCTGCTCTTGGTCTTCTCTCTCATACTGCTTGGCTTCTTGCAGCATTCTTTCAATTTCATCCTTTGTTAATCTTCCTTTGTCATTGGTTATGGTAATACTTTGTGATTTACCTGAACTTTTATCCATGGCAGATACTTGAAGTATACCATTGGCATCCAAATCAAAAGTCACTTCAATCTGAGGAACTCCTCGAGGAGCTGGAGGAATACCAGATAACTGAAACCTTCCAAGCAGGTGATTATCTTTTGTCATAGCTCGCTCCCGCTCGAATACTTGGATGTCCACTCCTGGCTGATTATCTGAATAAGTTGTAAATATCTGAGATGTTTTGCATGGAATATGAGCATTTCTTTCAATGATTTTCGTCATTACACCTCCTGCTGTCTCAATGCCAAGGGACAGTGGGGTCACATCAACAAGCAACACATCCTTGATATTCTCGCTTGTATCTCCGGTCAGCACAGCCGCTTGAACTGCTGCACCATATGCAACAGCTTCATCAGGATTAATGGACATGCAGAGTTCTTTGCCATTAAAGAAGTCTTTTAACAGTTTCTGAATTTTTGGAATGCGTGTTGATCCTCCAACCAAAACGACATCATGAATATTTCCTTTATCCATCTTTGCATCTTTTAAGGCCCGCTCCACAGGTTCAAGGGTGCTTCTGAAGAGGTCCATACACAGTTCTTCAAATCTGGCACGAGAAATCTTGGAGTAAAAATCGATTCCTTCAAAGAGTGCATCAATCTCAATACTCGCCTCACTGCTGCTGGACAAGGTTCGTTTGGCTCTTTCACAAGCAGTTCTTAGTCTTCTAACTGCCTTGGGATTTGATCTGATGTCTTTCTTATATTTACGCTTAAATTCTTCTACAAAGTGTGCAACCATTCGATTGTCAAAATCCTCTCCACCTAGATGGGTATCTCCAGCTGTAGACCTTACTTCAAAAAGAGATCCTTCATCAATACTCAAGATAGACACGTCAAAAGTTCCTCCTCCCAAATCAAATATGAGAACATTACGTTCACCTTTCAAATTTTTATCCAATCCATAAGCAAGAGCTGCAGCAGTAGGCTCATTAATTATCCTCAAGACATTCAAACCAGCAATTTTTCCAGCATCTTTTGTAGCTTGACGTTGTGAATCATTGAAATAGGCAGGAACTATTATGACAGCATCCTCAACTTTTTGTCCAAGATACATTTCAGCTGTTTCTTTCATCTTGGTTAGTACCATTGCACTTATTTCTTCTGGATTAAAGACCTTCTTTTCACCCTTGAATTCAACACTGATTTTTGGCTTTCCTCCTTCAGAAATAACTTTGAATGGCCAGTGTTTAAGATCAGATTGAATTTTAGGGTCATCATACTTTCTTCCTATCAGTCTCTTTGCATCAAATACTGTATTTTCTGGATTGAGAGCAACTTGGGCTTTTGCAGGATCACCAATCAATCTCTCTGTATCTGTGAAGGCAACATAACTGGGAGTTGTTCGATTGCCTTGGTCATTGGCAATTATTTCTACATGTCCATGCTGAAAGACTCCAACACATGAGTAAGTTGTACCCAAATCTATACCAATTGCAGGTGCTTTGCCACTTGGCATTCTGTATTACAGTTTGCAAATACGGTTCACAATGAACAGTTCAATAGAGTTCAGTGTAGTACCACAAGAACTTGTATCACCACAAGAAATGGAAATAATTCAAAGCGCTCAAATGCTGCAATCGCAAGACAATTCTCATATAAAGTATTCTAATATTCTACATGGTGAACCAAGAACTCATATTTATAAACGCTCCGCTGTTTCGGGAATTTTCCAGAGATCTTTGACGCAATACTCTAGTGCTGCCATCTATTGGAGAACTGTAAGCACAAAGATTGTAAATTTTGTTTTGGTTTCCTCGTAAATAGTATAATATATTTTATAGCGTTTTTTAATATTACTTGAAGGCTTTATTTTATGATTTAGTTATTAAAAACTTCAAACACTTAGTAGGTAATTTCGTTCTAGAAATTTCTGCTCTTATCCTAAATTGCGCAAGAAATGTGAATGGGTGGAGTCGAAAAAAAGTAGCTGTATTTCGTGGCGCCATCTTTAGCCGATAAAAGGCATTTCTGGAATTTTCGAGTGTGTTTCTCCTGTTTATCGTTTGCGTCTTCTAGAAAATTCAGTAGTATGATTACCAGAAATTACTGCAACAACTTAATTCCTTAATCTAAAAACAATATAAATTTTGAATGCGTCAGAAAATGCTTTAATGTTTACGTTTCATATAATATTGCAGTTTGGGTTAATAAGTGGTATGAATAATTACTTGTTCAGAGTGATTAGTCGAACTCTCATGAATTGTAATGAAAATTGAGAAATTTTAATTTCCTTCACGTTTACTTTTTAATAATCAATATTTATTGAAGCAAAATAAAATTCTTGTTCATGTGTTTTGAGTGAAGTAAAGTTCGTTCCTTTTTCTTGAAATAAAAAGGAAATACAGAAAAAAATTAAAGCTGGAAATGTAATCGCTAACGAAGGGGATATGAATATTTAATACTGCGAGCATCCATAAATGTAAATTTAAAAGCATAATAAATATAATGAAAAATTGTATTGTCAGAAGTAAGAAAGTAAGACTGCTGCAAGTGTCAGTAATGAAGAGATTTATTTAGGCAGAACTCTCTAAACGTGAAGCGTCAAGCCGGTCACTTCTGCACCTTAAAGCAGGAAGATTGATTACTCTTTTAATTTCATGTCAATCTGTCAGTTTTCTGTCAATAAGCATGCTTTACAAATAGAATATATCTTTTATAAGTGAAAAAAAAGTGGAAAAGTATAAAATCCTTTTACTTTGGCTTTTTTTTTTTTTTTTTTTTTTTTTTCTTCCCCTGGCACAGTATTTTCTAAAGCTAATCTGTGTTAAAATTATTTAAAGAAAAAAAGAATTCACGTCATTGATTCTATTTAAGTTGCAGTCGGAAGTTTAAAATCTATATGTGAGAAATTATTTCATGAAAAATATTTTAAAATCGAAAAAAGGAAAACCATATCCCTAGTTTTATTTTAACGACAATTGTATGTTTAAAATGTAATGATTTATTTTGTTTTAATAAATCCGAATTTTTATAAATTTGAGTTCATATTTTAGGATTATGTATTATGTAATTTAATTCAAATATTTTGTTATGATCTAATAGTCTGTTCTGAAGCTTAGCAGTTAATTTATGGATCTGTAAACGGGAACCGCTTCTTTTAATTTATATTGAGTAATTTCATATTGAAAATAAATAAACTGAAAATTTTAAAAAAAAAAATTAATTAAATCTTAAACCTCCGTTTGGACGTAATAGATTTTATACACTGACTACCAATAAGTATTTGGACACCTATGCAAATGACAATATCTGCGGTCGTAAGGTACGTCACGGACTCCGCCGGTATATATCGTGTAGGAAACAGCATCGGTTTTAGTCGCATACAAGATGCCTCGCAGTTCGGACCTCTCTGATTTCGAGAAAGGTATAATTATAGGGTATCAAAAATGTGGCCGATCCTTAAGGGACATATCTAGCGATCTGAAGTACCCAAAATCGACAGTGGCCTATGTGATTAAGAAGTGGAAGGTGAGCGGTGATTGTCGGAATGTGCCCCGAGACGGCAGACCAACGAAACTGGGAGATAGAGACCAACGAGTGCTGTCCAGAGAAATTCGGAAGAACCGCACCCAACCGATGGCCCACATCCGCGAGGAGTTTCAGCAGGCATCCGGGAGTATTGTTTCAATGAATACCATCCGTAAGGAAGCACATGTGCTTGGTTTTCATGGTCGTGCTGCTGCCCATAAGCCTTTGATCACAAAGTCCAACCGCGCTGCTCGGTTAATGTGGTGCAAAGCACATCGAAATTAGACCGTAGATCAATGGAAATGGGATCTTTGGAGTGACGAATCAAAGTTCACCCTTTACCGTTCGGATGGCAGGGTCTGGGTTTGGCGTCTACCTGGAGAACGTCTCCTGCCTGAATGCATTGTGCCAACAGTCAAGTTCGGCGGAGGTGGAATTATGGTCAGGGGGTGTTTCTGCTGGTATGGGCTGGGACCCTTGGTCCCCATTCATGGTAAGCTCAACACTCCGATGCCCTACTGCACTATTTTGATGACAATGTGCTTCCTACGTTGTGGCAGTATTACGGGTTGGACCCCTGTTACTTTCAGGACGACAATGCCAGTTGTCATGTTTTGACGTTAACCAAGGCTTGGTATGGTGCCAATGGAGTTCATCGAATGGACTGGCCTGCCCAGAGTCCAGACCTGAACCCTATCGAGAACCTCTGGGACAAGTTGCATCGCCGAATTCAGGGGTGCACTACCCGTGCAAAATTGGTGAAGGAACTTCTCTGTCTTCTCCTAGCCGAGTGGAAGAAAATACCACTAGCTGTCATACAATGACTTGTGGAAAGTATACCCCGGAGGGTCCACGCTGTAATTACCTCTCGTGGAGGCTCTACCATCTATTGATTTTGAATAAAGTTAGTTTTTCCTTTCTATCACAGGTGTCCAAATACTTATTGGTAGCAGTGTATTACGTCCAAATTACGATTTTGTACTACGCCCAAACGGGCGTTTTTTCATATACGCGTTTCTAGAGCATTTGGGTTAACGCCACATTGTGTTCAAAATATTTAGAAACAGCATATCTTTAGAATTTCGGATGGACAGTCTCGCGCGCTGGAAATAAAAATGTTTTATTCCTACAGTGTTGCCACTGCTGGCTTTAATATTGTTAAATTTTTTAATCAAAAATACGTTAAAGTTTTACAGAATATGAAACAGATAATAAAACAAATTCTAAATTCGGTGCTCCAAATGCCCATGTTCAGGTGGAAGACTATGTTATCCAAAATTTGATTACAGTGTGTACTTCCCACGATGCGACATTCCACACACACACACGATGCGAGAAACATACATACATTCGTGTAGATTCTTCATTATTTAATTTTTTTAATAATACAAGGCGATAATATTTGGTGGCAGCAATCTGAAAAGTGATTGGACGCAAAATGCCGTTTTGAGACTAATAACCCTTCCAGGCTAGCGTCCGTTTGGGCTAAAAATCTGAAAGGTAAGATTTCAACGTTCGCCAAATATAAGTTTTTTTTTATGCTCTCCCAGTACTTTTTTTCAATAAAGTTACCCTCACTCCTATTACCCAATTTTATTTTATTCTATTTTGTTTATTTTTGTCTTTTTTTAGCATTATTATTAAGCATCATTTTCTTGGCACTTACGCCGTATGCAATTCAACTGCAAAATTACAAAAATTTTTAAAAGCAGCTCAGCAGCATATGTTTGGAATTCCTTATGCCAATTTTAGTGTTGGCATACATTTTTCTATTTTTTTTTTTTTTTTTTTTTTTCCAGTCTTTCTCAGTTCATCCAATCAAAGTTCAATTTTCTAAGTAAGATATGCTGTCGCATTTTAGTAAGATACGCTGACGCTTTACAAATTTTTATTTGTCTTTTTATTATAAACGTTCTGTATGTTTACTTTAATTATTAAATATAACGTTCTTGGCGCTTACGCCACATAAAATTCGATTCAACAGCAAAATCACCAGATATTTAAAAACAGCGTAACTTTATAATTCCCGACAGGCAGTCTCGCGCGCGGGAGATAAAAATGTTTTTTTCCCGTACAGTGTTGCTTAAGCTGGCTTTGAAACCGTTGAGTTTCTTAATCAAAAATTCTTCAGGTTTTACAAAATATGAAGCAGGTAACAAAACAAATTCAAAGTTCGGGCTTTCAGGTGCCCATGTTCGGGTGGAAGACTACGTTATTCAAAATTTGATGGCTCTAGTACCTAGACCGTTGTATTTTCACAGTGCGAGAAATATACATACATTCATGCAGAGTCTCCTTTATGCAATTTCTTTAAATATAATACAGAGCGATAATATTTGGTGGCAACAACTTGAAAAGTGATACGTCGATTATACTGATACAACGCAAAATGCTGTTACGGGACTAAAGTCTCTTTTGGGCTAAAAATGTAAACGTAAAACATTTAAATAATTCCTAATTGTGAAAGTTCTTAAATTTAGTTATTATATTTCAAATAAGCGTATATCTAAATCATGACATAACAGTAGGAAATAGGAATGAATAATAACCAAATGAATATTTAAAGGAATTTCGAAACCAATACTGCTTTCGTATTTTCCAGATCTATCACCTAGCTGATGATTAGCTAATAACGGCTTAATATTTTAAGGCTAACTGTAGCCTGTAGCTGCCCTCCATGGAAAGCTTGCTAAATAAATTGGACTGTACTAACGTTATTCATAAAGAAGTCATAAATTTGTGAACAGATTCAACCTTCAGTACAAGAATAAAATACTACTAGAATTCCAAGATTTGGCCACTTTACCACTGGTGATTAAAACATCATCTCGATTGTCAGTTGTAATTGCAATGACCAAGGCAATAATTATTACATAAGAATATAAGTTATAATTCTTATCCTTATAAAATTTTTTGCTAATCAGCTTAGTTATTGATTAAAATTAATTTCATTCGATTTAAAAGCTGCAAACTAAAATTAAGCATTATATATAACGTTTTTATTATGCTATATCATTAGATGGGCAACTGTATGTGAAGAACCCACAATGGAATTTTTCAGTACATTAATAATTCAATTAATTATTATATTTTCATATTCAACTATAATTATGTAGAATATATTGTATTTTATTGAATAGTATCATTACAAACAATTTCGTCTTTTCAAACTCGAAAATCTCTGGGTGCTGTGTGTTATTTTTCATTCGCGGATTTTCCGTTATGACGAAATAAATGTATTGTAACTTAAAGAAAATATTTCTTCCA